ATAAACCAGTAATGATTGACGCACTGGAAGCCAATACTGAAGCTTTTATTCGTGAGATACCGGCCAATATGTTGGAGAGAGTGTGCCAAAATTGGACCTTGCGCATGGGCCATCTAAAGCGGAGCCGCGGCCAACATTTACATGAAATAATCTTTAAACATTAAATTATATCGACCGTTCTATCGACTCAAATAAAGATTTAATCGTTTTTTCAAACTTTTAGTGTTTTTTTTTTAAAATCAAATCCTATACCTCTTAAAAAATCACCCGTTACCAGTTCGGCATCTTTTTAATAAAGATAAACGTTTTTCCGCCATCCGCCTAGTACTTGTACTAGGATCATCCTACGCCAAATTAATCACTTCCAGTTCCTCTTGCACAGTATGCCGGACACCATGGCCTCTAACTCCGAGAAGTCTGGCAATTCCATGTCGCCGAAGTCATAGAAATGAACGCGTAAAAACCTTGGCGTCTGTTAGGAAATCTACGTTGATACTCCCGAGAAGCCCCTTAAGCATTTCCATTACAGAACCCGTACACAAAAATAATATCGGCCTGCTCATCATTGCTAAATCCCATTTGACAACACCCAAAAATGGAGAAAATAAACTTTTGACTTGACTTTTACAAAAAAAAGGTGGTAGTAATATTAACAACCGTGTAACACATAACTACGACAATTTATCTCCCAAGAAACATCAAGTTGGTATCAAGGCCTCCTATTTTATTTTGAAACTCAGCTCTTCATGAATGATCTAATTTGTTGTATTTTTGTTTTTACAAAAACAGTGCACTCTAGGAAAAAACACAAGAGTAATTATTTGTGGCAAAATTGAGAAATTCGAGGAAAAAAAACGTGGCGGAATATTTTTATTTGCAAAATAATGCCACTAATCCCCTGTATCTCCGCCACTGGTGCACGTTAATTTTAAGTAAAGACATTTGAATGTAAACAATATTTAGGTAAATCCAAATTTTAGTTTATTTCAGTTAACGATTTTTAAGATGTTAAAAAAAATAGTTTTTTTTTATTTAAGTTTCAACCGCCCCCCTCATATCTTTTTAATGAAGCCCTCGAGGAAAAAATTTTACATATTAAATTTTTCATTTTTGGTCACGACTTGTCTTGTCTAATATCCAAAAACCGGGATTTTTATTTTTCAATTTTTTTCGCAATTACAATGCTTCCTCACCAATAGGCGTGAGAAGTAAAAGTCCTCACCCCCTATTTATTTTCTGAATCGGTCAAGCTGATAAGCTGAGGTTTTTGGTGATGTAATTGAGGCATGAATTTTTTTACGAAAAAATAACACCTGAACAGTTCAAGATGGCGGCTAGGTATCATTTTAGTAATTTTTTTAAATGGAATGTGGAACAGTGTTTTATATCCCTAATATATAAATGGGGGACGCACCAAATAGTAGGTATAAAGTATTGTCTCTATTAATACTATTACATTGATGACTAAACCAAAATGTAAATATTACGTTTCATTTTATTATTTATGTAACAAAAATCTGTCTGTGCCTTCAGTTCAATGGCGTAAAACGATTTTAACTTCGTAATTTGGTCGGCGTATATCCTCATATGAGCAGTCAAATCGATAGATTGACCTATACGCTCTGTAAACGAAAGTCTCAACTTTGAGGACACCCTGTATATACTTAGCAAAAATTTAGCGATAAAATCTCATGAATCTTGATCACGTCCCGCTTTTTCACGGTATTTGGCAACAGTCGTGATTCGTGATTTAGAAATATCAGCTACTAAGTCAGCGATCGCGAAATATCTGCCAAAACTAAATATGAGTCATATTGAAAGAATGAACATAATGCCTGCCGGTCTGCCTATTTGAATTAACCGAACACAAACCGTCACTCAATTTATAATTCGGTTAAAAAATAATAAATTACTTAATTGGTTCGTATATCTACGTGTGCACCTCCACCAAATTTAATAAAATATTAAATGCTCCATTGTACAATGCATTATAAATTAATTGCATAAAAATTTATCGATATATTTATAACTCAACAACTAAAATTACGTTGCATTCGATTCTGGCCTGCCAAACAACTACTCTGAATTAATTATGTAAGTACCAAAATGTGGCAATTAGAGTAGCCTAGAGAATTTCTATTTTTGATTGTTGGTTTTAACAAGAGGCTAATTCTAAGTAAATTGGATTAGGTTGACATTGATGCCATTGAAGATGGTCACTCAAATTACTGCATCTTAAATTCCTTACACATCAACAGCAATCCTGAAACCAACAGTCATGAATTACATATATATACAGGTTGTTGAAATATATGAGAAATACACCTGCTGGTGGAAACAATATTATCATCAGTCAAGGTATATTTCGTTTCAAATCAAAAGCTTCGAAGAGTCAATATAGAACGTCGAACAGACATACATTATAAAGTACTATTAGTAATCATACTTTAGCTCACTGTATATTTCATCAAAGTCTATAGCAAAAATGGTAAGTAGTTTAACAGATGCACAGTTGCTTGAATTTCTCACAGTGGTAGTAGTATCAGTAGTAGTTGTTGCAGTTGCAGTAATCTAGTAGTGGTAGTAATTAGCTGTAGCTGTTGTAGTTGCTGTAGAGATTATATCGTATATTGTGGTGATATTACTAACAAGATTATCGTTTTACACCACGGATTCAGATTTCAACGTATTATATTTATCTACATTTATATATCTTACCAGGCATGCCCTAGAAATCCATAAACATCATTTTTGCAGACTCACCTCAAACCCTTTTTTTCAGAATATGTACAGTTACATATTTTTATAAAACGATATACATGCTAGACAAATAGCATCCGTAATGATCAAGCTAATGATACTCTAAGGCCCGTATCATCAGTCGTCCCTACAATTGTAGGGCTCTTTTATGGTCTCCTTGATTGTCATAGTTTTCTACTTCTTCATGTCAGCGCTCTGTTTTGAGGTTATGTCACAAACATCTATTTGCATCAAATTGTGCTTGCTTTTGAGTTATATCATGTTTTATCAGCCTGAATTTTCCTACAATTTAAAAAGAAAACATATCTTCACAATAGGAGAGCGCAGACGCTGACACGGGTCAAGTGTAATCTAGAAATTTTTGAAGGAGAGAAAGAAGTATGACAATCAAGGAGGCCAAAAACGCGCTCTACAATTGTAGGGACGACTGACGATACGGGCCTAAGCAATGCCATTTTTTACTGATTGGTCAACAACAAATGTGTTTACTGTAAACTGTAGCATATAATCATTCGATTTGAATACGAACCAATAGGCTGATCCCGGATACTACTGGATTGACAGGCATAGATAGATGCTGTACTACACAGTTGCTTACTTTGCAAGCTATCTAAAGCCGATAGTAAAGAGAGTATAGCCTTCTTTACCTTCATGGCAAAATGGCAAAATCGCATGGATCTTGAAAAACAAACGAAACAAAACCCATGGCGGAGATACCGTATTTACTAGTCCATATTTCTATTCTTTTCTTAGAGCTCTCAGTTCTCTATAATCCTGTCTCCTCCAAAACAGCCTTTTCCGTCTACTAGCAAGTGATCTGGAAAATTGCATCTCGGCCTTCTCGAGACACTTGCATCTCAATTTTGCGGAAAAATACTAATCAACTTTAACAGTCTATTGCATAAAGCAATTTAGAAGCGGTCGCTTTGTCCTTCGTTCTGTAACTGAATCGAAATCCCTCCTTTCACATTCGCATTGTGTCTAATCGAATTGTCTCAATCTCCGCACTCAGTCGCATTACCACGCGAGACTTGGGACCAATGTGATTATGAAAATCCGTATATACAAGCAGCTGATACAGATGAAAAATGATTGCCGTCCGATGATTCTTGAATTTTTTTTGACATCTACATCATGAACGACCATATCACTGATTTCTCAAGGTCAAACTTTCGGGGTTATTATCGAGGAAAGTTTCCCCACCAAATACATTTGTTTGATGATTCCCAAAAATCATCAAAAACTCGAAAAACATGTAGCAAATTTTGGATACGATCATAAATTTTCGCTCATGACTCTGCTGCTACTGAACTAACTTTTTAAACCTGCAAAATTGGTCGCTAATGGTCGCAGTTGAAATGAAAATCTCGACGCCTTTTCACGTTTTATTTGCTCAAAAACTCGCAAAACTTATAGCGCTTTCTTTTGGAATGATTGGTGCAAGTTTAGTGTTACAAGCAACAAAAAAATCCGGAAATTTGCCCACAAAAGATTTTTTAAAATCTGTCATTTTTTGTTTCATGCTGTTATCTGTCAATAAATTGTCATATCTTTCAGTTTGTTCAATTTATTTTGATTTTGTTGGCCTTTCTCCTGGTGTTCATTTTATTTTTGATTTTTCTTGGAATTTGTGGAGAACAGTTTGAGAATATTTGACGTGTACTTAATTATGGATAGTACAGATCCGGACTTTTTCACTATCTCTACTAAAATAAATGCTGAATAATGTGTCGGGGATGGAAGCGTTGCCATCTCCGAATTAGTAATTATTATCGTTCTTATGAATTAATTTATCCAATCGTTGATTTGCTTATGGATAATAACGGGTTGCAAGCCTCAGATTTAATCTTGACCCAATTCTTCAGAATAGCCTGATGATAAAAAATGAAACTGTTCAAACACCGTTCTCCACAAATTTCCATCCCCGCTTACGTAGGAAGTAAACACCTATGCGATGGATAGCCTTGACAACTCCGCGCAGAGTAGATGATTATCGAAAGCAAAAGGTAAAAGTAACTCCGTTACATTATTTTTTTACCGACCTCAAACTTCTTACTATAGATGATGGATAAATCAGCTGGGAGCCCAACTTTTTAAAAGTCTCTGGAAGATAAACTCAATTACCCGAATTGACTACGGGTCATTAACAGTTTCGTTTAAAATAATTACCTAAAATGTCCTCCGTAACGAAAACCATGGAAATCTTAGATGTAAATTGTTTTCTTGAAACGTGGGCATCACTAAATCATTAGTCCTGATACTTCACACGGAGGCGGTTTGAGGTGGACCGTTTCGGACGTAATCAAGGTTATTCGAGGTATTTCAAAAAAAATATCGATATTTTCCAGTATTGTGTGGGGCAGAAATCGGCTTCGAAAGATGAAATTATATATCTTTATTTTTGCTAATACTTCTTCCCACATTTTAATCTTGACAGCATGACTTTCAGAGCAAAAACAAACAGGACTTTTAAGTATTATGGATACATATTTATGACTAGTCCTCACCGTGAATAAACAAAAATATCTAATAAATTGAGCAAACCTTTTATCAACTATTTCTGGAATTCGTAATTACTGTGACTATCTTACTGTATCTTTATATGAACTTAAAAACGTTACCAATAACCGGCTAATAAGTTTCTCCGTTACAGACCTATAAATATTCGGCAAAATTTGCTATTTGAGTATATCTAGGTCCAATATGATATTAAGTTTTTTAGTACGCTCTATTAGACGGTTTTTGTTACCAAAAATTGCAAATTAATTACTGTAGTCACACAGGGTGGCCCAACCGTGCAGGGCTGATATTCTACTTCCAGAGTAATTTTTTTCAGAAAACTGTTATTGTACATAGTACAAGGGAAATCATTTTAAAATGCAGTCATATAGGAGCGAATCTTAGTAACTTTGAAAGTTTACACATCAATACAATAAAATTGTCACCACTGGAATCAGTTATAATGATTACGAATACAAAAAAAAACTTTTGCACAACTTTTCATGTATTATAGTATATTATTGATTTATTTTATTTTTAAGATATAACATAAAAGGTGAGTGAAAGAACTAGCAAAAGTCTCGATTTTTTATTATTTAGTAATTTCCGCCCTCCACCAGACTGGCACATCTTGTTTTTATGGTTTTCATGGTGTTAGAATCCTGTATTTTTCTGGGTGGATCTTCGCGATCTCAAAGTCGTATGTTGTTTTGGGGCGACGAGTGAGGGTGACATGTCTGGTATATCTAAAGCAATAGATAACCTCATACTCGCTTGTCGTTTTGGAGTGGGGGCTAGACGTATTTTGGGATTGGGAATGCCTACTCCAGGAGGTCTAATCTTACAAATGTAATGATGGAGTGACGCGATCTCGGCATGGTACAGGGCCGTTCAGACAGTTTTTGCAACACACTGTATAATATCGGAAAAGTCAAATGAACTGTTACTTGAGAGACAGGAAAATCTAAATATATTGTAGCGTTTTCTGGGTTCTTTTGGGTGTGGATTAAAACAATTGATGTAAAACACAACACAACTAACTTTAACTTAGAGTCCTCTGTGGCGACCAAAACCAGAGAAAAAAGTTGCTTCTACGTGTGTGGTTTCATATAGCCAGAAGAATATGAATCTCAGTTATTTCATAAAACATCCGGTTAAGGGCCTTCTCGGCCGTAATGCGCCTGGAGTATCAGGCCAGTTCTGCAGTTGACTCGGAAGAATTGAAGAATGTTTATTGTCTTATATCCCAAACTCGGTGCAGCAGATGAATTTATAAATTGATTACCCCAATCCATCATCTCGCTCGGTCAGTTATTCGCCTGCTGTTCGCTCTCTATGTGTTTCGTCTTTATGTGTGGGAGGTATTATGGAATTAGTTCAGGAACTCATGTGCCAAAAAAAGTCCATCATGTATGTGAATGGATGCGAGTTTACCTATATATACATGCAACTTTAGGAATTTGAATAAGGTCTAGAGCTTGATACAAAATTTGGATAATGAACCATTTAAATTGGACACAAACTTCATTCCCGTTTCTTTCTAGCTATAGTTTACAACTTAAAGCTTAGCTCTCCAGTAATGCCATCTCTGAAGCAGATTTTACATCACATTGGAGCCAAACGTTGATAACTGAAGCCTCACGACGTCTAGGCAATACGTACAACAACAAAACGAGTTCACAACGTGACGATCAGCTAGTACTAAGTTAACATCTTGTAGAAAATCCTAAATAATGCCACAAAAAAAACAATAAAATGTTCAAAAAAATCGACATAATCAATATACGTGATACCCGTGCCGATCCAGTTTGCCAGTTGAGTCGTCGAACGGATCCGTTGGATCCGATCCGACAAAATATCGAATCCAGGGAAAGCGAATCCTTTAATGGACCCGGACCGTCCAACACTTACTACAGCTCAATTCTTAGTCACTAATCTTCGGTCTGGTCGTCCCCTAATCCGAATTTGCTGGGTTGTTACATTTGAAATTGCACGAATAGATTTTCTTCACTGCTATCTTATATGTTTGTATGTGAACTTGATAAACTTTATAGTCAGAGTGTTGCTGTGTTATTTCATTAAAAAGTGCTGCTCCTACTGTTGTACCATACAGAAGGTACCTTTGATGTTTTCCGGTCGCCTCCAGTGACTTTGTCCCTTTAAATTGGTAGGGCATAATGGTATTGGAATGGTCAGACATGCTGCTCGTAACTTTTACAACAAGTACAAAGCTATCTATGAGCGAACGCTCAACCCAAGCGCAGAAGATCAAAGAAAACGAGAATTATCTAAGCATGTATGCAGCGATATATCTGTCTATAATTCAGATATTGACAATCGTTCATCCTTGTGATCCTTGACCTTGAAATACGCAAATGAATTAATACCTTAATCTTTGAGCTGAGTGACCCAAGAGTAATTTACCCACTGTAAATAGGACATAATCGAGAAAATTTTCAATTCCAGTAACCGGGGTTTTCGAGCTGGAGGCCCAAGCGTAATTGGATCATAAATATTAATTTCCATACGCAAAACAACGGAAATTAGGACTTGGATCTAATGTTTCAATTCTTTTTGATTAACTTTAATGTGAATGCTGCGGCTAACTCGCCCACCATCCGACATTACTTGAGATGAACTGGAAAACTTTGAGGGAATGGGGTTGAAGTCGTTGAATGGGAATGGATGATCGTTGTTACTACCTGGGGTGCGTTTATAAATCTCTTGGTCATATAATACAGTACACAGTAATGAAATGTAGATTACCAGAAGAAAATTTACTATGGGTATACTATGAAACTTTATTTTTAGAATGTCTAAATTATTTGTCATGTAATGACACTTGATGATAGTCGACCAATTTCTAACCACGTTTTCTGAGACCATTTTTTTATTATAAGAAACGCTCCGAGCACGAAGTAGCCCATTTATCATGAAAAATATATATTCCGCCAAACAATGAACCATAATAATGACAAATGACAACACTCTTATTCCAAAAGTTTTGAGCACAGGGAGAAAGTGCACTTTTGAGAAGGATTGCTTTGCTCTATTTCCGAAAATTGTTACAGAATACTACAAGGTACACTCTCTAATAATTCACGAACGCAGCCCTGCAGAAGAAATTAAGGATTGGCGTGAAAATTAAACGTGTGCTGCTGGTAAAGGACAAAAAGAACAATGTTGAAAGTATTCGTTTTAATTTTTTTTCGGGGAATGGGCGCAACTCTGTGAAAGTATTGTTTACGATTAGATGAAGGCAAAAATACTTATTAGCAACCCGAAAAATGCGGGGAAATCTAGTACGCCATCCGTAAGTACACTAGACATACCCTAGTGAATATGAAAGTGCTCATATAATACAAAAAATATCAGATATACAGGATATTACTTAATGATAGGTCCTAGTTGCAAGAGCGGATTCCTGAACTAAATTGAAGAAAAAAAGCTAAATTAAGCCTCGTGTCCTGAAAGGCCTGCTTTCAACGATGCAGGCTGTCAAAGCTTAAAAAAATATATTATTTTATCAATATGTTAAAGATCCTTGTATCGATTTTGCTGAAAATTTGGCATTCTTGTTCTTGAGAAACGGTAATTTTATTGGAGTGACAAGAAACTATTACGATTTATAGACAAATGCTGGATAGCACTATTATAAAATTGTTATTGAGGGTAAAGCGGTCGTGAAGGAAATATGTGTTAAGGTTCGAGGGTAGTTTTGTCACTGATACTACTACTACTGCAGACCTATACATACAGTGTTCCAAAATAGTAAGTTAGTTGAATCATACTGTTTATAGTACGTATACAAAAGTGTTTTAACTTTTTTCTTTTTTCAGACCGACACTATGTCGATTTTTGGTCTTATTGGCCTTGGAGCAAGAATAGTGCACCAAATTACCTCAAATCCTGTATTCCATGCAACAGTAGCAATATTATCCAGATTTCACGGGGGAATCTGGGATCTCCTGCCAGTTCCGTTCCATATACCAAAGCTGCTTTGAGCCTAGCTGTTTTTGTAATGTTTAAATAAACTTGACTTGCTGTGTGAAGGTTGTAAAATTATTGTTGGCCGAGGATCTGTCAGCTTTGCACAATAGCAAAAGTGTACATCTCAGCAAAGGTTTTAATATTATCGGAATATCAAATTATTACCTGAATTAAGATTCAGTGAAATGTGTTTAAAATGCTATATATCTATTTATATGTATATGTATTATTTTTGTTCGCGTTTGGTTTTTGGATATTTTTTTTAAAACATCGGTTTACATAAACAGGTCATTCTTTTTTTTTAGTGAAAAAACATGTCAGGCCTGTAAATTAATAACTTGTAATTTACTTTTAGATGCAGTCATGAAATTTAACCAAATGTCTACTATTTAAAAAAGTACAAAAAGGATTATCAGATAACTTTGCTAAAATATAATTAAATCAAACTCCGCCATTGTTTATTAACTTATTTAATATGTTAAAAGTATCTCATTTATTGGTATGATTTCAGGTTTTATTTATTTTTTAAATGCCGTACGGCGTTTCGTTGATTAATGTATTCCACAAAAGTTGTGATCGCTTCTTCCACCATGTCTTATTTTTGCATTGCTAACAAAATCATATTTTATTTTACTTTGACGTCACTAGCTTTTGTTTCAGATGTTACTAACACTATCTTATGACAGTTTACCAAGATAGGTTATTTGTGCGTTTCTTGGATTTGGTCGAGGATTCCACGTCAAAAATGTGATAATTATTCATATTTACTTTTACTTGTAGTATGTATAGGTTGGTAAAAATTTGTCGTATAAACTGACAACAATATAAACCAAACAAATTTGAAGTTAGGCAAGCCATATGATTCAAATAAGTCACAACCACAGGAGACATGCGTATAGAATATTGGCATCGTCGTGACATTTATTCATGGTAGTCACAAATTATTACAGTTTGAGCTTAGCGAAGTTAATAAATAAGATGTTTGATATATATAGTAACGATTCACTTTTTTGCTTTTGCCACTAAAAATAAGAATACTATTTTAAACTGTAATCTGGTAGAACTTATTACAATCAATTAATAATAAAGACCATAAACATCTTTAGTCTACGGCTTCATCACTGAGACACAGGATGTTCAAGATTTTTTTTCTACACTTCTTGTCCAATTTTTCATAAATTGCTTCAGTGATTCTGATGCAGCTCTTTGAATCAGCTCCACTATAAACATACATTCGCTCCTTAATTCGGTCTAAGACTGACAGTTGACATACAATGTTGTCTCATCATGTCCAGAACACAGCACAAAATCGCAACAAGCTAGCGTCTTTATCAACACCAGCAGGTATTCCAATATTCTAATTCCTTCTGATGCCACTTCAAACAGATGGATGACGGTGAGAAGAAATCATCTACTTGATAGGTATGTATCATATACACAGAACTGGTCTTATGAAAGATATTCGGATATTAGATATATAACGTAGAAGTTCTCATAAGATCATGTTATATTTTTTAATATTGCTAAAACTTTATTACTTTTGGGGTTTGTAGGTTGGCTTGTAGCGCTTCTTAGTGGGCTTTATGAACTTACTTTTGAACAACACTTCGGGTTTAGGGTTAAGGTTTCGCATCTCTTTTCTTCAACAGTCCGCCTGAAGGAGTATTCTTAATATTTTTCATCTGATTGTTGCGTGGTGTACACGTATAGAACCTAAAAACAATACGTTATCCATTGTTTATCAAAAAAATATTTTTGGAGCATTTTATATGCATTTTTTAAATCGTTCTTCTTAATAAATGATAGTACAACTTTCAATTGTTCGAGAATATTATATATATATATATATATTAAGGAAAAAGTAGTGACCCGCTCTAATCCACCATAAAAGTGGAATATACTCAAACAATTTCAGAGCTGCATTATTATTTCTTAACTATTTCCTATTGTAGAAAAAAGCACAAAAATATGTTTTCTTGACAAAAAAAGTAATAATTTATTGTTTTTCAGTCATCGCTATTCCCACCCAGACACCATAAGACGAAAAGTATTATGAATGTTTCTTCAGACTGAAAAGCGGGATGCTAATCGTTAAAAATGGAATAAAACAAGTGGTGTATGAGGTATTAATAAATTCTTTTTTATATGAAGAGCCCATGCATGACATGAAGAAACAGTTTGTTGAACCTCGATACTCAAAAAGTTCTAGTCCCTGCTACTCGAAAATTTTTGCATTTTCTCATTCATTCATAAGTATTCTTCATGATCAGATTTATTTGGCATCTCGCTATATCATGCAATGGTATTATAAAAATAAAAATTAAAGCTTCAAAATTTCATCGTTAATGTATTTACCTCGCTATACTCGGGTACCAAAACAGAAGAAAGTACTGTCAGTCATGTCAGTAGGCAGTCTAGTCAGTAAAGACCTATGAGTCATCTGTTGCCCTCAAGTTTTACACAATCCTGAGTATCGATCTAATACAGCCAGACCTAGTTACTGAAAATGGACCTATTGGTTCGGGATCATGATGCAAAGCCGCGGCGGCCAGATGGTCCATATTACAAAGCACCACAAATTGATCTTCAATTAAAAAAAACCTCCATATCTTACAGATACGAGGGATGTCTTTTAAGTTTTGCATATGGAAATAAAACAACACGGTAGGTAGTTTTAAATGACTTTATTGTTTTTCGAAGTATTCTTCACGAAGATTAATACACATCTGCATGCGCTCGAACCAATTTTCGAAGCACTTATTCCACTCGTTTGCTGGCAGATCCAAAACGGCATTTTTGAATGCGTCAACTGCTTCTTCTAGTGACTGGAACCTTTGACCAAGCAGTCTGTTTTTAATTTTCGGGAAAGTAAAGAAATCGTTAGGACTTAGATCGGGACTATATGGAGGATGGTCCAATAATTCCAAGTTTTCTTCCGTTAAATACTGCCTTGTTTTTTGGGCTGTGTGCGAGCTTGCATTGTCTTGGTGGAGGATGATTCTTCTTTCGGGGTTGATTTTTCGAAGCTCGGGGATGACTTTTGGCAAACAAATGGTGGTATACCAATACGCAGTAACAGTTCTTTCCTCATTAAGAAGAATTGTTCCAATATGATCCGCTTTTGACACAAATGTCGCAACCATCTTTTTCGAAGCACTTCGAGAACGGATGACTTTTGTTGGCTTTTCTTCAGCTTGGAACACCCAAACAGCCGACTGTCGTTTATTTTCTGGTTCATAGCAGTATATCCACGATTCATCACCACTAACAATGCTGTACACATTTTTTGAATTTCCGGAATTGAAACGGTCAAGCATTTTTTGACATCAATTAACCCTGGCTGCTTTCTGCTCTTCAGTCAACAGGTGGGGTATCCAACGTGAAACTATTTTTTTTACTCCTAATTCTTCATGTAACATTTTTTGAATTGAGGTCTTTGAGATCTTCAAGGACGTCTCAATCTCGCGATATGTCACATGTCTATATTCAATGATGAGTTTGCGCACAGCATCGACGTTTTTCTGCGTGACTGCCGTTTTTGGTGCACCCACCCTGGGATCGTCGCTAAGACTCACCCGTCCAGGTTTGAATTCTCCATACCAACGGGAAATTGTCGACTGATGTGGCGCTTCGTTGCCGAAAACAGACAGTAACTCAGCAAGGCATTCTTGTTGCGATAATTGTCTCTGAAAGTTGTAATAAATTATGGCGCGAAAATGTTCTCGGTTGAGTTCCATTTTTCTAATGACTTGGTGACACTTAAAAATTCACTGTAGTGAGAACACTGCACGTATTGTTGTAAACTTTGAATTTAAGTTTACTAAAGAGTGAGGTTAAGATTCAGTACTGACGTTCGATCCGCGCTGCTTACTATGTTTCTATTTGCAAAACTTAAAAGACATCCCTCGTACGGCCTACTCGCCATTCAATAAACTGGTAATATAGCTTTCAGGATTGACTCATTATGGTGGTTTTTCAATAGATTCTAGAGGAAAGAGTGATTTTTTTTGTTGACAAAACTGAACTTGATGAAATAATCTTTAAGTAGGTATTTCTTATGGAAATTGAGCTAATATTCCAGATAATCATTTGTCTTGAGTTCGAACATCAGTTTCTTTTTTAATTCTACAGGGTGACCCAGAAATCGGCATAATAATTATCAGAAAAATATAAGAAAATCCCAAGTCTTTTATTAATTAGTGAATGTATTAATTATTAAATTCTCAATAAATGATCAAACGTCCTCCCTTCAAGCTTGAAAACTTAACGTAATTAACAAATTCAGTTGCTTCCATTATTCTGTTCTGTAGCCCAGCTAAATTTTGTATTGGCTTTGAGTAAACTTTTTCTTTCACTGCTCCCCAGTAAAAATAATCGAGTGGACTTGTCAGGTCACGAAATTGCACCAGACCGCCATAACCATTTGCTCGTGTATTCCCAAAAAACTACACAATCATAAATTAATAAAAGTGGCGTTACTATCTGTCTTGCTGTCCCTACCTAGAATTACACTTCCCGTTAATCGGTCTGGAAAAATTTGAAATTTTCAGTAATGGGAACTAAAAGATCATCGGAGGGTGTAAATGTTTCCGATTTCTTTAAAAGTGACCCATTTGAGTCAAGTCAAGAAGGTTGACTTTGCAATTCTCACGCAACTCTGCCATCAGTTTATAAAAGGTTATATCCCGCATAAGTTATGCTGTCTTAGAAAGACTACAAACACGAATTCAATGGATCAAGTCAAAAAGAATCTGATTGCCTCCTAAAAATAATATATTTACCATATTTTTATGTACCAGATTCAAGGTTTTTGAAATTTGGCTACCCCTGAGAAAATTTGCTACCCGCTACTCATCAAAATTGTTTGTAGCTGATACATTGATATTTATACAAAAGAGCTCCCTGCTCCCTCTTGCCAATCTTTAATCGTCTCCCTTAGAAAAATTCTATCTTTGCCTTGTAAATCGAAATTTATTACCACTTAAAAGTACTTCAAAAATGAGCAAGAACATCTGAGACGTAAAAAACGCTTGAGCGATTTTTAGTTTTTTTTTTCGCTTTTTGCCTCCAAGCTTTTTGGCCACTACATCGAGTTCCGAAAACTACAAAGCTTCGACATTCTAGTATCAAAATTTCATCAAAGTCCCAGCGATATTTTCTACATTATAGAGGCGCAAAGGATTAGCAAACACAGTCAGACTATTCGAATTCGTTGAGTCAGACCGACAGAAATGGGTGACATGGTTTTTTGTGATGTAGATGTAACGTACAAAAGACATAATGAGCCGTATTCAGTAAACAAAGGATATCCTTGTACTTGCAAATTTTGAAGGAAATCCTCCAGTTGGTATTTATAATAATTTGAAGTAAATGCTTTTGCTTTTTGAGTATAAGCAGTGACATAAGTAAAAGGATATTCATAATCTTCACCCTATACTTGGCATAGTAAGCATATCCTTCAAAAATTCTTAGTGTTGTCAGTAGCAGACTCAACTTCGTAACGAAAGGTGGTCAAACGATGATGGCGGGAATTGTGGATGTTAGGGATGTTAAAACGTACAAACCTCGTTTACCTTCACATGGTCGTGACTGCAAAAAATTGTATCCGTTCGACGAAGCAAATGTACAATGGCTTGCGGACAGAGTTTTAGTTGAAAATGAGGAAACTCGAGGAGGAGCACTTTCATGTATTTATAAAATGAAGATATGTCTACGCTATCTCGGTGACCCTGGATATCAACAAGGTATTGGTCGGGAACTTGGTGTTAGTCAAGCAACGGTATCTCGGACTGTGGATAGAGTTGTTAACAGCATAGTTGCACAGTCGAACGGATGGATCAAGTTTCCAACTTCGAACCATGAAGTGATGGAGGCGAAACGAAAGCATGTATAAATTTCCGACAGCAATTGGTGTAATTGATTGTACACATATAGGAATCCTGGAACCAAATCGCCATGGAGATGAGTATATCAACCGAAAAGGGAAACCTACTTTAAATGTGCAAGCCACTTGTGACGTCAGAGAGATGTGCACAAGTGTCTAACAATTTAATTGCTTTATTACCAGTTTTTTTAGATCTGCTTTTCTCTTCAATCTTGATTTCATGTTGTTGATTTTTTTTCAATAAGCCTTTAGTATCTAATGGTTTACCGAATGTTGATTCGTATTTTTTCAATATCTTCTTCAAGGCATCGTCCTTTCTCATTTTTATTTTTGAAACTTGTGACTTGCAAAATAATGGGAGCAATGGCAAATTCATCTGCGATGAACTGCAGGTCGTTGCCATTAGTTTCTATAGTTTCTTCATCACTTGAGGATGACATGCTTATTCATTTGATAAAAAACTGTATCCAGTGAAAATACGGAACGGTCTGTGTAAGCTCTGGAGTACAACTGTCAGTGATGCTGAGTGAACGAACTTCCATGTCAACTACAAGCTGGAACAAGTCAGGACATGTCGCTCAAGATACAAATACCAGTCAACCTTTTACTTCTTCTTGGAGGATATCATCGCGAGTATAAGGTAATCGTTATGAATATGAAAACAAGGATATGCTTATACTTCTACCTTTTTCTTCGAAGCAAGACCTTATACTTTTACCTTATGCTTCGGAGGATATGCTTCTCTTTTATAAATACGGCTCAATATCTCTTTGCGGTCGGCCTGTATCCTTCATTCATACATTATACAGATATTCAGTTACATTTTGTTTTGTTTTTTTTTTACAGAAAATGGTCATGACCATTCCAATTAAGATAGCTAGTCAACTATGTGGACCTATCCTTACAATATTGAAGGTGCTCAAAAACTTGCTTCCAGTCGCTACCTTGTTCATTGGATCAGCGAGAGTGCTCCAACATGCCCAAAGAATAGAGGATTAAATGTATCAGCTCAGATTCATGCATCAACTCACATTTTTGTAATCATAAAATAAATAAAGCCTATCTGATTGATCAAATGTGCTAGGATTTGCATTATTTTAATTTAAAAACAGAAACAGTCCTCCATGAAGTAACAGCACCACGCAACACGTAAGTAAAGTAAAAACGGTTTCAAGTAGATTGACTCAAATTCTCAAGCGTCAATATATACTAAGTAAGTGACATATAAATCCGAACACCCAGTTTAAATGGTTTTATTTTAATAAAATTTTGTATAAGTACTTAATGAAGCATAATAAGTAAATGATAAAAATTTCAAAATGATTGCACTGCTTTAAAGCCCTTTGACCTTTAATAATGTGTGGATGCACCCTGATGTGCTACGCATTCTCCAACGCGCCTAGGCATGCTTCTGATCAGGTGGTCAATGTCCTCCTGTGGTATCTCATTCCAGGCAACCACCAACTCCTCTCGAAGTGCTTCTAGAGTCTGAGGAGGACGTTGCAAATTGAGCAATCTCCTACCCATCATATCCCACACGTGCTTAATTGGGGATAAGTCGGGAGATCTTGGTGGCCATGGTAACAATGTGACATCATTATGTTGAAAGAAGTCTATTGTGACTCTTGCAACATGTGGTCGGGCATTATCTTGTTGGAAAGTTGGATCTGCCAGAGTGTCAAGATAGGGTAAAAGACGGGGTTCTAGAACTTCGTAGATATAACGCTGCGCGTTCATGTTACCTCTGATGAAGATTAAAGGTGACCTGGAACCATAAGCTATAGCACCCCAAACCATAACTCCAACAGTGTGATGAACATGTCTTTCAACAAAAAACTGTAGATTCCTCCTTTCACCACGTCGCCTTCTAACCCTGGCACGACCATCGTGCATGCCTAAACAAAATCGAGAATCGTCACTAAAGACAATACTGTTCCATTCCTGATCCCAGAGTGACCGTTGTCTGCACCACTCAAGGCGATTACGTCGGTGTTCTCGAGTTAAAGGGAGGACCCAGTGTGGCCGGTATGAAAACAAGCCAAAACTTCTCATTCGTCAGTAAACACTTCACACGCCAACAGGTCTTCCGTGTTCTGCAAACCATTCATTTGCAATGGACCTGGTAGTGGAGAAACGGTCACTTAAGGCCAATAATCTTAGGCGGCGATCTTCACGGTCTGTTGTTCTACGGTGGCGTCCAGTGCCCCTTGCTCTTTGCGTACGGCCTTCTCGAAGCCATGCCTGACAACACATAACCACAGTGTCTACACTTCTTTGCACTCTAACTGCAATTGCCCGAAAAGAAAGTCCTGCTTCCAGAAGTCCCACTATACGGCCCCTATCAAACTCACTAAGTTGACGAAATCGTACAGGTCTCCGTACTCTATTCATCGTAACCGATCGTAAAGGATGTCAAGAACCAAAATCCGCCAACGTTGATCCTTCACTGCGGCTGAAATATTCATTTTTAGAGCGTTAGTGAATTAAAAAAAAGCAGTATAAAAACCGGAATGTCCAACTGATAAGGCTGAAAATTTTTTCACTTGTTATTTACAGTAAGATAAATACATTCACCAACTTTTATTAAAATAAAACCATTTAAACTGGGTGTTCGGATTTATATGTCACTTAGTATATTTCTATTATCAAATTTCCAAACCTTGAAAATCCTCGCTAGTCAAATTCTCTTTAAGTATCTATCGTTAGTGATACACGTATAACTGAAAACGAGCTTAGCCCAATTTTAAAATCGTTATTATAATATTAACAGAAACTAGAAAGGCGCCGAAGAATGTATGTTACTCATTTCCGTTATCTGCATTTCTCATCTTTCAGTAATTCTTGGCCCTACTGTAATCGTATTTTGACACAAAGTCAATCTATTGACGGCAGAGTCGCAAAGAGAAAATAAGAAATTCTAGAATGCTCCCAAGCTTGATGTCTAGTCGTGGTTGTGTGGTTAATAAAGTCTTTCGGAAGATTTACATACAAACTCTACGAAACGAGTTCTAGTGGAAGAACTGTATACAGCACTTTTCTGTGTTCTCAATTCACAATTAATCATCAAAACACTATAGATATATCAATCTTCTTTTGGAAGGGTCTATCTAAATGCGCAATAAAATACGGAGCATAGATTTTTTTAAAATAACTTTTTTAAATGGAATGGTTCCATATTCAGATGCATTTTTTCGAGAGGAGAGAGGAGAAATGAACATTCTATACCGTTTTAATGATCGATTGTCGAGCTATAAACGATTCAGTGTACAAAGACGCTCAAATTTTATAGTCTGCCTAGCCGCCATATTACATTCTAATTAGTCACATGACTAACCATTCTATTTAAAAAGATGTTTCAAGATGGCGCCCAGCCGTCATCTTGAAATTTCACTCCAGAATATAGAATTCATACAACGATTACATCAACCCGAATTTCGACTTTCTAACTTGACCCGTTCAAGGAATGAGTAAGCGGGTCACTTGTAAAAAGCAATATATAAAAATTTTCTATACAAGTTGCAGTAGATGGTAATAACATAGATACGTAGAACATAGAACTGCCATATTGAAACCTTTATGCAACAGTATAGGTATGTTTGAAAGAACTACATACGAGTATATCCAACATTTAATCCTACATCCAAATTTTTGAAATTATCTAGCAAGTTATATTGTAAAGCATGTTTTTTCTCTGTCCTGCTGCTCAATTTTCCTTTCCAATCAAAAAGTGATTCAGACATGTCACACTAACAATGGTACAATCGTTTGGTAGTTTCACCTGGGAAGTTTTAAGGAAGTTATAAAAAGTTGATACCATAAATTTCGATGCTCCGTTTCCGAATTTTCACTTTTCTAACTCGCATGTTTTCGCTTGCCCACTATTTATCGAAAATTGCGCTCACAATAATTCCGTTCCGACGCTTTCTGAGGTAAAAACTAAACCAACGAAAATGTCTTACAATGTATTTAACATGGTTTTATAGGATGAAAAGTACGACGTACAGACGCTACCGCCGCAAAGATTATTTTCATAGGAACATAGGCGAAAATGCTCTTTTCCAAATTACAAAATTACGTATACAGGGTGTTCCATAATTATTGCGACAAAATGATAGGGGTTGTAGAGGGCATAAAAATATGCAATTTTGCCTTATAAACCCATGTTCGTAAATATGCCGTTTGAGCACTACCGCTAATTTTACCTTAAGAGGTCATAGGAGAAACAAAACATTCACCAGCTGCAAAATGTTCGTCTAGCACATTTCATGGTCTCGCCGATTTGTAAAAAAAAGCCTGCTGTGTTTACATTTCTGTTATCGTAAATTCTCCACACCGATTCATTTAATTTATCTGAGTGGTGCGCAAACTATACGTAGATAGTAAATAACAGTACCTTAGTGTTAAAATACAGCGTTATTCGTATGCGGAACTTGCGGATATGGATTTAATTTACGGAGAAGCTGGTGGTAACGGAAGACGAGCCTCGCGAATCTACGACCAACGGTTTCCAGAACGTCCTCATCCGCATCATGCCATTTTTGCAAGGATTCATGGACGTCTTCGTGTCAGTGGCAGCATTAGACACCTCGCGGGAGCAGGGCGGCCCTTCACGAGGCGCACAGAATTTGAGGAAGCGATTCTGCATCATGTAGAGGCCAATCCGCGTACAAGCGTGCGTGCTATTGCACATGATATGGGAGCGTCTCAGACTACTGTTTGGCGGGTTCTCCATGACCAGCAACTACAGCCATCCCACCTTTTAAAAGTCCAAGCCATGGGTCCAGAAGACTATCTGCCGCGTCGACGTTTTTGTCGTTGGTGGCTGCAGCAGGAGTTGAGGCAACCAAAATTTAGTCGCTACGTTTTGTTCACTGACGAGTCCTGTTTTACAAAGGACGGTAATTTTAATAGCCGTAACAGTCACATTTGGGATGAAGAAAACCCTCATGCCATAACCATCCATAGAGACCAACATCAGTTTTCAATTAACATCTGGTGCGGCATTGTGGACGAGCATATCATCGGGCCATATTTGCTTCCACCACGTTTGGATGGGCATGCTTATGGTCGATTCTTACAGCATGTGCTACCGGAACTATTAGAAAATGTGCCACTGAACATAAGAGCCAACATGTGGTTTCATGTGGTTTCAACACGATGGCGCTCCAGCCCACTTTTCTTTACAAGTGCGGCAGTATTTGGACGACAAATTTCCAAATAGGTGGATAGGCCGAGGTGGCCCTGTGCCTTGGCCTGCGCGGTCACCCGACCTGACCCCCCGGATTATTTTCTCTGGGGCCATCTGAAAGCTTTAGTGTACGAAACTCCTGTTCCCAACCAACAAGAGCTACTGGGAAGAGTGATGGCCGCGTCCGCACATGTTCAGGACATACCGGGGGTATGCCACAGAGTTCGCCGATCATTGAACAATCGTGCACAGCTGTGTATTGAGCAAGGTGGAGGACACTTTGAGCAATTACTGTAGGTAAGCTGTTTCAAGAAACTGATCTTTTTTTGCTGCAGCCCAAACGGCATATTTCCGAACAGGGGTTTATAAGGCAAAATTGTTCATTTTGATGCCCTCTACAACCCCTATCATTTTGTCGCAATAATTATGGAACACCCTGTATTTATACCAAAAAGCACGAAACTACAGATTAATCAGCTGTTTGACTTTATATTTTAAAAAATAGATTTCCCCCAACCTTGCAGCAGCGTTTTAATACATTTTTCTATAAATGGTTTACCCCGGCTGAATAGAGCCACGCGTGAAAAACATAACCCTTCTTCTAAGGTAGTCGGGTAAATATGTGAAAATAAGATAATTCCTTTCCCTTGATACAATACCTTCAACAAATAAAAATCCCAGAAATTCCTATATAAATTCTATCCAAAAACAAGTACTGCTTTAATGAAACGCTCCGAGACATCACATTTCACTTGAATCAACCACCTCACAGGAATGAACTATGCATAGTTAATGTTAATTTGAAACGAGCTACTAAATACTCAATATACCGGGTGTTTCAAACATACAAATACAGCATACAGTTCTAACAACTTGCTGTTTTCACTTTCGCAGTGGTCGATTCTGGTAATAGATAACACTTTGTGCTGCATTTTATTTCGATAGACCTACACTGAATAGAATAGAGTAGAGTTGCTAAGCTTTCGTCGAAATGTATAACTTTGAACATAACATCTCTTCAGAGAGGACTGTACAAATATATAACTCGTCTGTTACAGCTAATAGATATACTTCATGAGCAGCATATTCAGCAATAATTTTAACACATAGCAAATATTACTGATTTTATAGACATGCAGACCAGTACACACCAGACCAGTACACACAATCATCCAGATGCGATCTTGCTACTCTGCTACTCAACCAATTTTGTAGGTCTCATCCTCTCAGAGATAACATATACAGAATGCCGATTCTGCAACCAACAAAGCATGCTGGGAAACAACGCTCATAGCGAGCAATATCCGAATTAACTATCGGTTTTTTGCCATTATATAGGTTTTTTTCGTAATGACTGGCAATGCGAACTTTCGCAGTGATCGATCCGGGTTCTGATCATAGATGGCACTTTGTGCTGTCTTATTCCGATCAAATAACGTTTCCGAGAGGTACTCGAATTCGAAAAACCAGTGTATGTTATGGCAGGAATTTAAATATAAATGTTTATGAATTTATTTTTCACCCTGTAGACATCTCAAGGAAATTTGCTAGACTACTATTTTCTTTCTTCGTAGGTCGCGGTCGCCGAAAAAAGGACATGTTCGGCCACATGCTGATGTTCGGCCTGGTAGCAGCCGGACTAATAGTCATCCCTTTGGGCTTCAAATTCCTGGCTGTGCTGGGCGGCAAGGCACTGCTCCTGGCAAAAATGGCGCTCCTGCTCACTTCCATCCAAGGGCTGAAGAAGATAGCGACGAGCAACTTCAACTACGGCCTGTACTCTACGTTCCCCGCTCAGCACCCCACTGGGCATGGACCATGTAAGGGCATAGAACGGTGCTTTCGGCATCAAGGGAATGACGTCGATATAGAACTGGATATCGGCGGTACGATAATTTAAGGCCGGCTGATGATTCGCGAGTATATGTTACTCAGTTGAAAAAAGAGAACAAGCTACAGTTTGCTTGTTTGACTTTGACGCTATTCAACCGACCTCATCACGCTGATCACGTACACTATGTTTTGAAGGCTAATTAAAGTTTACTAGTACTTGCAGAGTAACAAACTGAAAATGTCTTAAAACTCACATGGGTTGTTTTCATAGGAACCTCTGTCATATTATAATAATAATAATAATAGACGTCTTTATTTATCCACAATTACATTGTAGTATAGCCAAATGTCAGACTTATATGGCGAAGTTTAGCATGCTGCTACTCTTACACTTAACCATATAGTCTCTAGCAGATGTTCAAAAGAATACACTATCCACAAATAGATTTGGTTCCTTACATCGAAAGTAAAATTTAAAAAAAGAGAAAAAGGCATACTTTCCAAACCCAAATGCCCAAAAAATTATTAATCTGAATTAAAGATGGAATAAAAAAGAAATGAATGATTACGTAAATTATATGTTTGGAGGGTTGAGTAATAATGTTTTAACATTGTAAGAAAAACTGCGTTTAAAAAGTGTAGACGTATGCAGGGGTATTCTAATATTATTTTCTCTGAGAGTTCTACAGTGAACATCATTATTTAATGAATTTTTTTCCTTCAAGTAATAAGGTTGAATAGTGATACTTGACCATGTCATTAATTTTTAACCAGTTTAGAACGGGATATTTCGCTGATACATGATCAAATTTACGTAAGCCAAAAATGAATCGTATGCAATTATTTTGAATAACTTGAATAACGTTTTTAGTGAAATTGTCTAAACAAGAATAGTATACGATATTACAATAATTTAGTATAGATATGACCAATGCTTCACATAGTTTTTTACGCAACTTAAAATTTAGTAAATACCTGTTTGCTATAAGAGTGCGCAGCCGTAGGTAGGTTTTCTGAGATAGACTTTTAACATGTTCAATAAACCTTAATTTTGTATCAAAAAGAACACCAAGAATTTTTGCAGAATCAGAAAATTGCAAAATTTGGTTATTTATCTGAATGTTAAGAGCTGTGTTACATTGTATGTTTTTCTTTGTGCGTAAAATAATAACATTTTAGATTTTTGTGGATTAATAAGTAGATTGTGATCTAAAGAGTATTTAATTAATTTATTAACGTCGTTTTGTAAAATTTGAGTAGTATTATTGACATTATCTGCGTTAAAATAATGGAGCAATTGCGTATCGTCTGCAAATGACTGGACATGAGAATTATCAATACTATTGCTTAAGTCGAACGTATATATGAGGAACAGAAGCGGCCCCAATACAGAGCCTTGAGGTATGCCTGAGGGAATTATTGTCACTTTAGACATTTCTTGATTGAGAAAAACACACTGAGTTCTTTGATGAAGGTAACTGTCGAAAAATGAAAGGGATACACTGTCAAGACCTATGTAATTTAGTTTAGCAAGTAATAATTTATGATTGATGCTGTCAAAGGCTTTCGAATAGTCTATAGAGATTAAGGCTAGTGCCATTTTCTTATCTAAGGCACTTAAAATATTGTCTTGCAGATTAAGTAGGGCAGATGTTCTACTATATTTTTTTCTAAAACCGGATTGAGTGTAGAATTTTTCTAGGTAAGCGGTCAATTGCAACTTTATAATTTTTTCTAAAATATTCCTATAAATCGCATCAAACCTGCAAATATCTACATAGTAACATTTTTTTTCATGCACTGATTATTTTTTTAAATTATATGTATTGAGAATCAAAGGTTCTAACATTTGGGTTTGACCTTGGTTGCTCGTTCGCAAGTTAGCACATTTCGGGGACTACTACTCTCGCAATAAAGAAGAAGCTAATGCGAAGATATGCAACAGCGCAAAGTAAAAATTAAAATTAGATACTTTCATACCAAAGGATCAAGGATCTATAATCGGGGTTTACGGACCTAAAAATGACTCATATTTCAAGTTCATCGCATGATATCTTTGCATTTAAATATTTTAGAACGTACGTATTTCAAACCTTTATCATTCTTCTTTTAATTCTTTGACTCGATTGTCTTTAAAAGCCCAAAATTCACCAGTTTTGACTTTTAGGCCCAGAATTCGCCCATTTTAGAATGTTTAACTCCATATCTATAAAAAAAACATTACGGTACAACACATATATTATACAGTGCTTTCTAAAAAGGTTCTCCCATGCTTACTCTTTGAACGGGTCAAGTTAGATTCGGGGTAATGAAATTGACATGTTTTAATACAAAAGTGACATGCAAATTGGCGGATTGGCCCCATTTTGGAATATTTTTTCAAATGGAATGAGAAGTCATGTGATATTAATATCAACCTTCTTCTCTTGGAAGAGCCTATCCCAATATGAAATAAAATTTCATATGTTAGTACATTGTTGTAACATACTATTACGTTTTTTATTATTAGTTGTTGAATTATAAGCGATTTATTGTAAAAACAACCCTCAACTTTGATAGCCTGCCAGAGTCCGCCATTTTCGAAGACAGTGTTTTTATATTCTAGGGTTATAAAATACTCATACGAAAACTCAAAATGAGGTATCAAGCGACCCCTCCCATTCCATTTTATGTTGGATAAAAGCTTATAAAAAATTGAAATTATAAACAGCTTGCTAACTTGACCCGTTCAAAAAATAAGTCGGTGGTGTGGCCTTTTTGAAAAGCGCTGTATAAAAAAAATGTTGCTCCACTCCGCTTACTAAAAAACAAAAGGTGAAACGAACCAATACACAATTGTAATGAGACTTCACCTTTTTTTAACGTGAACGTACTGGAGCAACTCTTTTATTTTTATACATGTGTTGTATCTCAGTGTGTCTTATTATAAATTTGAAGCGATCATGTGTTCATATAAAAATACATAAGTTAGGTATATTCGAAAACAGGTGAATGTTGGACAAAAATGCCAAAATTGCGAACTTTGAACACTCAAAAAACAATACTAAAATAATAAAAATGTTGATGAAAGTTTAAAATACATAATGTTCTAAGATATAAATCATTTCGTCAGTGCGATCAACCTGTTGAGTTATTTTCAGGCCCGAAAACACCGCATATACAAATCCACTGATCCTTTCAAGTACGGTTCTGTCACATTGTCTTCCACGGAGCCGGCCAGTTTGATTCAAAAGGAAAGTCGGATGTATAGTTGCCCAAAACCTAAGTTTTTCCAATAATTAACGAAATGCATACTGCATATAACACTCTTTTATAGGTGCATAGGTTTCATTCCCTCAAAGGAAGAAATCGCAAATCCAAATAAAATTCGGCGAGAAAGCGGTGATTTACAGGCAATGGGTGCATTAGCATCCATACACCTATTATACAAGTGCGAATATCTTATTGTTGTAATAATCACTTACTTCACATCTAAAATTGGGTGACGTACCGTAATGCAGCAACCATATAACAGTGACAAAACGATTGACAAAAATTACAACTAATTATTCGCAAGGTTTGCTTACCTGGTTGTTCTGCTACTGCTAATAGTAATTCCCCTCTATTCGCTGAAGGATTGTCTTCAGTAGGATTTAGACCTTGTTTCTCCATGTGCAAGACACATATTCACTCTAGGTCTTTCACACTGCACTCACTTAGGTCTCAAAGTTCTTCGCACAAGATCAAAGAAACGCAGCGCTGGATATAAAAAGTTCACGAAAACGCTCGATGTACACTCGCGAAAAGGTCAACATCCTGAATACATTTTTGGTTAACAAATTAAGATTATATTAACAAGTTTATGGCTGTTAGTTGTGGTCTTTTGCAATGGTGCAGGGCCTACTTTGATTTTTCAAATTTTCAAGCTAAAAATTATACTCAGTGCGGCGCATGTGCAGTGTACGTCGATGCTAGAGAACAGGGTTGTACTTAAAAATTTTCCGACACATGCTTTGGTTATTCTGACTTTCAAATACACTTAATATATGTACGGAAAAGAGGGAACAATCGCTTATTTCAACAGGAATGCTTATACAACATGCTAGTAAAGAAATATACCAACTTTTAGAACAACAAAATATGTAGATAAATATACTAATAATAACAAATCTGTCGAGGCGACAGTAGGTGGAGTTCAATTTTAGGTACATAGAAGTACAGTTCCAACGCTCACGGCTTGAAAAGTAGGAGCCCCGTATATTTAGGGTATATGCGTGCCAGGGTTATATCTGAGGAACGAACGATTTAATTATTATTTTTCACCAAAATCAATAAAAACAGATTGTCCTGCTGCATCATTTAGTTTTCTATCGTGAGATTTCCGCCTCCACTACTCCACTTAGCACTATCAAAATCTGTGGGCGCTGTACACGCCACAAACAATTCGTTATGATCTAAGTCCATGTAACAACATTTTTGTGGATAGCATCTGTGACGTGTATTATATCATCTGGCTTTGATGGAATTATTGATAAATCGAAAGCCAAATTCCAAATTACATTCGGTAACGCTACCATCAGTAGTAAATTATTACTAGGTTTGTTCCAACAAGCAATCCTGTATCAGTTCACAGGCCCGAGTTGAGTATCAAATTATCATAGCTCCAGCAGAGTTAATTGTATTTTCGTCATCCTGTCCATGCTATATTATCAACAGCTGATCGGTGATGCAATTGGTTCTAAAGACGCACATGCTCTAGTTAAAGTTCAAACTTTCAGTTCTCTCTCAGAACTACTAGCGTCAGTTCAGAACTAGTTATGGGAATCGCTAGGGATTTTTTTCGAACAGACAAACTACCTTTATAGTATTTCATATGAGACATATCTTTTTCCTTGAGGCGCAATAATGATAGTGGCTTCACATCTCACTAATTGGGAAATTGTAGAAGTCTGTTTAATTTTATATATAAGTCGTATATATTTTGCAAGATTTTATTTTCATTCCCACTATTTTTCTTAGGGCATTATGATCGGAAATGGCCCTACGACCCTTCATCGGAAGGCGGAGGATATGGGAACTATGGTCCAGGATATGATGCATCCAGATTCGACATATTACATCCTAGGAGAGAGCTTATTGTCCATGGAACCACGTGATCATCGCTGCACGTTCAGAAGGCATGGAATTAGTACCAAATAAAAATGTAAATTTCATAAACTTTATTTATATAAACGTTATGCTTAGTAATGCCGTTACTTTTATTTATTCTTATATCTTATATTATCTATGAAAGAAGTGGTAAAACTTTTCTGCAAAGTTCATATGTAAAATTTCGCATCTAAAACTGTGTCGTAATAAGTTCTAGCATTAATCAGTTTTCCAGACACTGTGACCCTACTTCTGCTATGGAGGTTGTCAGGCTTTCGTCAGATGCGGGTTTTCTCTGGTTTCAACAGTTTAATCAAATCCAAGCGAATAACCAAAATTTCTGTGTTATGTACCGCGGTTATAATATGGTTCAAGATGACACACGGGTTGATGACGTCAGTTACTCGAATCGCTTGAACGCGTTCGTTTTAACCGCGGTTTTGTTGCAAGTTGTTTATTTTAGAAAAGCGTATATATGATTTCTGATTATTTTTATTATCACTTAATAATCGGTGCTTTTTCGTCTACAACAGTGTATGGAAAGCTTAAAAAAACTTTCATAATATTAATGGGAGAAATGTGTTTTCCTTTTCAGAAAATAATTTTTAATGATGGAAAGATGGCTTTGTAGCTACGATAACCCTCAATTCTCTAAACTTTGCCACATGTCAAAGAAAACATTTATTGATTTAGCAGAAATGATAGGAAGAACCGTATACAGGTGGACATTATCCAGTGAGTTTATATGGCCATATTTTAATATTCTTGTGGTATATGGCTACACAGGATACTTTGTTAAGTATAGGAACTAGATTTAAATTGTCCCCAACAACAGTAATGATTATAACTAATAAGGTGCTCTACTTTATGTTAAAAAATTGAAGTCAGCCTGTATCAAGTTTCCCAAAAATGAAGCTGAAGTACAATAAAAATATCCAATACCCGGCAAAATTCTAACTTGTCACATTTCAAATAATAACCAGAAATATGAAACTACTCCTGAGTTGGGTAAATAACACAATTTTGCGGTGATAAGTATGACATATAACAGTTGATTCATGACGTCACGGATCTTATAACCAAACTGATAACCACACTCTCTTGAACGGATCGGTAAATACCAATCCAAAATAGTAAATACCATTTTCATTTGGTTAGCCACTTGAATTTGATTTATGACATGTAGAGTATGAAACATCTGAAACTTCATGAGATAGCGCAATGCGCCATCTATCGCACCAGAATCGACCACTGTGGATCGCGCATCGCTGCTATTAGTTGGAGCTGTCAAGGATCTTACTATAGTTCGAGTTTGATAGCCATGCCGCTAGATGGCTGATTGTTCTGGCTGGGAGTAGATGTGATCGATAATCCCCCATCCTTATGTGGCCAACAAACACATGTATTGACAGATCTTCTTTATTGTAGTAAGCATTTCAATCACAAAGGTGATCTTCTTCAATACTGAAGCGTTTACTACCGTAAAGGAGATATGGCAATACATGTGGTTTTATTGGCCATACAAGAACCCCCTTCTTAGAGTTATGTTCTATCCGCATCCGGAAAAAAACGAGTCCTGGCTGATTCCTTGTACGAATTTTAAGCTCGGAATTTTGGTCTAAATGAAGGCTCTCCATTCCAACTATTCAAACTTTTGGAGAAACTGGGCAAAGTACTGTAAAATAAAAAATCATCTCCCTTGAGAAAAAGTGTATATTGCATATGTTTTCAACACAATATATATATATATATATATATATATATATATATATATATATATATTAAAATGGCCTTAAAATATTAATATATACGCAGGACTTGTATCACCACCCCTAAAAATAAAATCAACAATCAACACTTATCACCTACTTCCTCCTGACAATAACCCTATTCATGATAAAATTGACTACGAAGGGCCACATAAGTATAAAAACGATTGCTCTGGTTGGCAGACCACCGAAGAATAGCCTTCTAGACTGCAATGCCGACTTACTGGAACATTCTATCGTATCCAACCGCTTGTTGAGCTTTTCGATGTCAATTTTCAACGTTGAAACCGCTTGAGATATCTCATGCGAGATATCCACGTTCACGTTTTGGAATTTTGTTCTGGATCTGGAAATGTGCTGACTTGGAGTTGTGCTTGGAATGTAGCCGTTGGGAATCGACTCGCAAGACTGGAGCATCTTCCGAGGTTCCGGGTTCTAGAATTAAATGAAAAAACAATACAACACACCTTAAATTATGCTTCTCCAAGAGATGTTACACCACCAAGAAGCAACTAATAGTTTTAAGTTTTAAGTAACGGTCAATAACCTGAATATATTGCTTACTTATATCAACTCACCTCAATAGTATCAGTATATTCTTCGTCACTATGTTCTGAGTCATCTGCTACGTTAGTAGGTGATGGGGAAGAGCTGGATGGTGAACTCGTTCTAGTACCAATTCGGAGCGGGGAATTTTCCCTGGAAGCTAGGAAACAAAATAATATTTTGCTAACAAGGATTGTTGGTGATAATTTTGATATTTGATTCTTAATCTAAAGCAAGTGATTGATGATCAATATGATGACTTACCTAGCGGTGAATTTGGCAGTGATCTCACTTTTTCCAACACATCACCTGCAACTAGTTCTAAGTCGTCCATGCTAATTGTTTCCAACTCGTCTGTAGGTGCTTCTAAGAAGTTGGCAACCTTGTCAGAGTAGCTCATTGTCTCCACAATGCTGTAAGAATTATTATAAATTAATCTATATTTTCAAATGATATGAGGACAGAGTAATAAAGGTCAGCATGAACGAAATCTGTGAGAGTTTCTCATATATCTACAATAGAAAAAAATCTTATATAACTTTCACAAAAGTATTAGTTAGACATCTACGACTTATGGTACTTTATGAATAGGTTCTTTGGGTGGCAAGTCCCCTTTATCAGCCCACCCTCATACCCTAGGGCGGTAAAGTATTGCCTGCCGGTCTTTTCTGCCTGAAGGGTGAGATTCTCCAAAAATGGCATAATGATTAAAACCAGTCAGTTATTCGCTACACATCCCACCACGGTAATGGTTGCAGCATTTTTTTATGGTGGTTAGCCTTGCACTAACTTTTCATACTAAAGGTATTAGACATGTTCTCCCAATCGTAAATATACATGTATTTGTACCTATATATATGTACAACCTAGCAAGTACGAACCTACTGTTCGTTCCTTGGTCTCTTTTTGTCATGCTCTACCTTGCTCAGCAGCTTTCGCGTCACTAATGGTTGAATGGCAAAGTTGTCAGCAGTGAGCCTCTCGCTGACCATCAATTCCAGCTGTCTTTGGTAGTCAACACATCTACTACACTCAACTAAATGAGCAGGAGTATCCTCCTCTTCATTGCAATGTATGCAGTTCGCGTACTATCTTTCCTACCGACTTAGGTAGCTATCAAAAGAACCATGTCCAGTAAGGAACTGTACAGTATAGCTTAATATTCGCACCGGTCCCGTATCAGTCCAGTTTTATTATCTGGGATCAGTCTTCTAATTCTTGCACCATTGCCTGTTGAATCGCATCTCTCCTGCAATCTGACAAAAAGCGCCTCTCTTTCGTCGCTCCTGGTTTCGGAGCATTTTTTATCGGCCGCGCATATTTCGCCAATCAGCAAATCAATTGGCGGGATACCAGCACCAACGGTGCAACCCGTTATGCATTAATTAAACTTTGTAGAATACACACTATGGCGGTCATGGAAACAATCATTTATTCGTTGCACGACTATCGTGACATAATTGCGTTTTATCTTTAATTCTACCTAAATTTTACTTTAAATTTTTTATTTCAGCCGGTCGTAAATAAAATTTTGTATATATTTCGGACATAATAAGCGTTTATGTAAGCTGGCATGTTAGAGCATTAGATACATAAATAACTATTGTCTATAACCGGTTGGTAAAGTGCGCTTTATGAATACGCTTTTCGGGCGATAAGTTCTACTTTTCAGCGCGCGTCCTTTTATAGCACGGTAAACTCATTAATTTCTATGTCTACTTAAAAACCAAACTAAATATCTTTTTAGCTGGTGGTGAATAAAATGTTGCATGTATCTCGAGTGTAATAAGTGTTTAAGTGTTTGGGCGTCAAACGCCCACCTAGCGCACTAGATACTTAGCTAACTATAAAATTCTTATGTATAGATTTTCAACTGTAACTTTAAGAGGCAAAATTTATGAAAACTTAAATGGTATTTTATAAAATGCACTTCATTTCTCCAAAAAGGCCAGTGGTGTAGAAAATATTTCAGACTATGGGTACAGATACCCCAGTTTCTACGTCCTTGGTTTCGTTTGGACTGGGAAACTCTGTGAGTTTAAGGCTTATGATGTGCTCACTGAACGTCTAAAATCTTAACTCAGTGTCTGTACCCGCTCTCTAGATATATTTTTACAAATTTCGTAAATACAACTTCATCACCCAGTATCTCAGTACGGGAGCATCTTTGGACCTATATTTATAGGTACTTTTCTTGTTATTTCTGGATGTACTTCTTACCCTAGAGATATTGGCACGTATTTCTGAACGGAGTTCATATCGCGACATATCTGGTTCGTAGATGATGCACATTTATCTTTGCAAATCTCGATGTCCACATATCACATTTGTCGGAGAATCCACTTGCCTAAGGGTCACTATTATCACTGTCTATACAATTTGGCTTAGACTACGCATCGTTTCGATTGATTCGTTGTCGTTATCTTAAAATAAAGATATTCAACTCACGAATGCAACTCTTTCACGTATTTTGCCATCGCTTCTTCTTTCGACATATCACCCAACTTCTTCCAAGCATCATACTTTGCTCTGCCAACAACATCCCAGAAGGCAGGTCGTGAACCAGTGCAGGGACCTTGTGTAGCTTGTTTGAAATAGGAATAAAATCTCAGCATCAACTCATTGCTTGGCTGGTATGAACCTGTAGAAAAAGTTAACATATTATCAAAACCTGAAAAAACACAGAGAGTCAAACTCTGATGACCTGATGCTGTGAAGATCTTATATGATGCTTAATAAAAGTATATCTTGTACACAAGATTTATGCAACTATGATGAAACGTCTAGCTCTGATTTAGTGAAATAAATATGATCTCTGTAACATCACGAACACTTTAAATCTTCCGCATATTGATTTCACATTCCATGCTAATTGACGTGAAAATATACAGGGTGGCCAACTAAGAATGCGAGGTACTGTATTTGGGAACCTATCCATCGTCGAGGCTTGAGACAAAAACATCTATTACTAACGCGGCCAAAAGAAAAAGCTGGAAAATATTTTCAAGTTTCTGAAATGACCGCGAGGGGGCGCAACTACAATCTTGAATTTAAAAAAGTGATGTTTCTTTGAATACCGCTATATTAACCTAACAAAAACTACCTAATCTTTAAATTCGAGGATAATCTGAACCTTTTTTGTATAACAATTTTTGCTGTATCTCTAAAAATAAAGTAAGGTGGGGTATTCAAAGTAAAAACACCCTGTATATTCGAAACGGCTGAGCCGATTTTAACAGACTTGGGCTAGTTGAAAAGAGCTGTTTTTGGGTTACAAATGTTATAATATTTGGGACTTAAACTTTCATTTTTGTAAACTAATTTTTCTGGAAATTATTTTTATTAATAAGTCGTGGCCCTAAAAAGAACCGATTTAAAAAAGAAAGGTTTTTAATGATCCCGTGAATGCTCGAAATGCTGAGCATCACAAAAACAAACATCGTTCTTCCAGAAGTTTTGCGGTAAATACTAAATCAAGCACTTGACTTGATCCCATAACCCAAACAGCAAACATAATATCAAAACCAATAAACGTAGTATCTGGAAAACACCAAGACAAAAACATTTTTCTTAATTATAGAATGTTATTGCATTTAAGTATATGGAATATTCATTTATTCACTTGCTGACCTTTCCAAAGTTCAATTTTACAATGACATTAAAGCAAGCAAGAATTGTGGTTGCCAATTTTAGACTTAAATTACTTTCAAATATTTGTATAGATATAGATACAGGTGAAAATGAATTTAGATTTTTCATAATTCTAATTTAAACTAAAATTGGATTATTTGGTTTTATTAAGTTTACTACATCAATAAAATATTTAGTACAAATCAAATCTAATTATAAGCAATCATGAAAAAGTAAACTAAGAGGTTATACAATCATTCAGTTACATATGGTATATAGTAATACCAAAATTTTCTATCAACATAAATTGGCACAACATTATACAAAAGCAACATTTATTACAGGGTGACCTACTTCTTCATTCACATTATTCAATGCAGAAGTTACAAAATCATTATTATGTGAAACATTGGTCCTATTACTCACCTTTTATAAAAGTTGTTTAACAACACACTTAAAAGTGAAACATATCTTAACACAATATTTTTGTTTCTCACTTTCATAAATAATACAATGTATTTGTAAATTAATTACTGTTAAGGCCATCAATATAAATTATTTGGCAAATTATAGAAGTAGCCTGAAAAATATCTTTCACTCCAGATACTTAGATACAATACAGTCTAATGCAGATTCATTAGAGTTTAAAAAATGCACATCTCTTATATGTTATATATTGTGATACTGAAACAAGAAAGTCTAATGCAAATATATGTAAGTTTAATAATTGGGTACCAAAAAAAAAGAGTGGCTATATGATGTCCAATATCTCTCACTCAATGACTGAAATCTTATCTTATAATAAAATATATAGCTCAGAAAAAATTATCAGTCATAGATACTAAGTAATAAAATTTTCCAAAAGATATAATGTTAAGAATGTACTACACTGGAGTAACAAATAATAACAAGACATTATGTCATTTGAAATTGTACTTGACAAAAATGCTGATAAGATATATATTCAACAGACCCATAAAAATGAAAATAAATGATAAGCAAGTTTTTTTTACAATTTTTATGTGCTTGTGATATCAAGTGAAAGAAGATTGATATTCCTGCAATATGATAAAAGTACATGGCAACAATTTAATAGATTATAATTAGAAACATCAAACTACATCTGAAATTTTTCATAGAAATGCAACGTTTATGGAAAGTTTGAAAAGTTGATGGTTGTATACTTTGACCCAAATATAACGAGTTTTGTTAATACCTACCCAAATGAATTTTGTGGTTTTAAATATACTTCAAGGATAACGATACTAATTAACATAAAAATCCTGAAAGGTGCCCTCTGCCCCCAATCAACATAATTGAAGATGTCACCTTCTAGAAACAATTTTTAGAGACTCCATATAGACATTTAATACAATATATGATAAGAATAGCTTAATTTACAACAAAAATCAATAGTTTATTGTACATTACCATTTTTTGGCAAACTCCTAATAACGTTGACAGCTGCATGGAATTTCTGTTCAGTGGTCATTTCTTGATCAATCTACACTAGAACAATTATTTATCACATCTACTTGTGAATACTAGCTTTTGATATACTTATAATAATAAAAAACCTATAAACATTATCAAGAAATTGACTTGTGCAAAATAAACTGACAAATTTTGGGTGCAGTGACGTAGCAAATGTCACTGTCATCATACCGCAGTGACGTCTTCACATACATAAAACCAAAAAACGATTGATCGAGATGAAGCATTGATAATCTGTGGCATGGGTATCAGACACAATCACTTCTACAGATTCAAGAGCAATGAATAGTTAAATTTGAAAGCAATAATTAGTTATAAACTGCTTGAATCTGTTCAAATGCTGTAAAAATCCACAGAAAAACGCTGGATTGAATGGATCGAGTTTTAACAAAAAAAAAAGGTATTTTTCCATCACTACCAGTTAAAAGATCAAGTCAAAAGTCAAAGGAAATGTCAATGTCATTCTTGTGTCATCTCATCTTCATGTACATGTTTTGCAATTCTTCAATTGAAAAATTCTTTTTATACGCTATTTTAATGTGGTATTTCGTATTACACATTTTTGTAAACATTTTACATCTCCACTATTCACGTAATTTTTCTGTTTGATCATGTGGAAATGCCATAAGTGTCAAAAACCAGTCTATTTTGGTAAGTTTATTGTTCAAAAATCATAACATTTACTTATTTGGTTTTTCAATCACTTGTTCGGTATATTTTACTTAATAATAATATATAAAACAAATTAAATATATTTCTGTATGATCAACTGAAACAAAAAGCATTTATTGCAAAAGGCCACTCTTTGAACAGTTGAATAGTTTACTTGAATTCATTCGTGTATTTTAAGATTCAGTGCCATAGCCCTCTCAAGGCTTGCTGCCCCATGAAGGAACAGAAAAAAGAATTGAATGTGATAGTGGTGGATTTGGGGAGCGGTCTAGAGCAGGGGGAGGGACACATCATTAGCACACATGCCTGCCATTTACCAAATAGATAAATTATATATAAAGTTTTGTGCTGAATTAAATGCAACAGCTCCACAGGCAAGACATAAAGATCCATTAGCCTAGTGCTGATGCATCAACCATCTTATCTATCATTATTCTATTCTATTCTGGCAAAAGATTAATAGAATCTACTGCTAGATTTTATTCAAATCATTTGTGCCTAACATTAAAGAAAGCAAACTATTGTAAAGAGTTCATTTTTTCATGTGGTTTGCTTTTCAACTTTTCATTGTCTTTCTCTAATGGCTAGATCTACACCATACTAATGTTTGCTAATTATATTATATATTATTAGTTATTGTCACAGAGGTGGAACGAAAAGATCCTATTATAACAAAAATTAGTACTTATCCCTATAGGTTAAACATGTTATTGTGACATTTATTTGATGTTGAAACATCAGCTTTTTGAGTAAAGTACATCTTTAAACACTTTGAGTGATTGTGTCCTAGAATTAAGAAGATTTAAGACTTGTAACCTGTCTTTTTGACCATAAGTTTAATTTTTATTCATAGCATAACAAAAATCTGGATTAGATTTTCAACATACATTTATTCTGACTCTCTAAACATTAGTTCATACTATGTTGTAAGATTTAGGTTTACAACGGCAAATATAACAAATATATACCCAAGTCAATACATTGAATAATAAATTCAGAGAAAAAAATAGAAAAGAACTAGCATTAATATTAATATTTCAACAAATTCTTTTTACTCTATTGAATACCTCCACATAAACTTGCACAAACTGGAATGGTCTTTGCATGCTTTTCTCAAATTGGAGTGTGGATTCACTAGTTTTTATTCCATTTTAAGTTGTTAGACAAACGTCACACAATTGGTATTTACTTGTGATTCATCAGTATTTATTAGCAATGCACTGATTTGAATACAGAGTACCAGGTACTTGGTGGGGTGATTTTCTCTGGGGTATTTTACCTACTGTTAGTGCATTTTTCAAGGAACTTTTTGTGAGTAAACTGTAACAGGTTAATGTACTTATATTTTTTTCTGAATTTTTGATCTTAAATATATGTCTTGCAACAGTTAGGCATATGATTTTCATTGTGGAATTCAGCAGCTACAGTAATGAATTGAAATTGAAACCATATTTTGATTAAAAGGTACAGGGTTTGTCCGGAAAGTAATAGGACTGAGTCAATTCAAACAAATTTATTGAGCCAATCGTTACAATTCTTTAAAAACTTTCAAAATAGGCTCCATCTGCATCGATGCAGCGCTGCCAGCGCGATTTCCAAGCATTGAAGGCATCATGGAAGGCATTCTCCGGAATAGCCTTGAGAGCCGCGGTGCATGCTGCTTGGATCCCCTCTGTCGTCTCAAAATGCTTGTCTTTCATCAGCCTTTTCAGGCGAGGAAACAAAAAAAAGTCCGGGGGGGCACATCTGAACTGTAGGGCGGCTGCGAAAGCGTTGGGATGCCGGCCTTGGTCAGGTAGCTGTTCACAAGAAAGGCGGTGTGAGCCGGGACGTTGTCGTGGTGCAACTTCCAGTCGGCTGCGATGTCTTGTCGGACCCGACTGACCCTTCGTTTGAGTCTCCTGAGCACTTCCACGTAAAACTTGGCATTGACGGTTTATCCAGGAGGAAGAAATTCATGGTGGACGATGCCTTTGATGTCAAAAAAGACAATGAGCATCGTTTTCACTTTGGATTTGCTCGTTCTTCCCTTTTTTGGGCGAGGAGACGCCGTCGTGTGCCACTCGGAAGATTGCCTCTTTGTCTCGGGATCATACTCAAAGATCCACGACTCGTCACCTGTGATTACGTTATTCAAAAATTGGAGGTCACTTTCACACCTGTTCAAATTTTCTTGGCACACTTCCACTCGCCGCAATTTCTGGTCGTCAGTGAGCACTTTTGGGACCATCTTCGCGCACACCTTGCGCATGTTCAAATGCTGTGTCACAATGTCGTGAAGCACAGATTTTGGTAAATTTAACATCTGGGCAATTAAACGAATACTGAGTCGACGGTCGAGTTCAAAACTTTGCGCACACGAGTCACATTATCGTTGTTTGTCGAAGTCGAAGGTCTTCCAGCACGGTCTTCATCAGCGACCTCTTCCCGGCCCTCCAAAAAGGCCTGGTGCCACCGAAACACACCACTTCTTGCTAAAGCAACACCTGGGTAAGCCTGCTTGATCATATCAAACGTCTCTGTCGCTGATTTATCGAGTTTCACACAGAATTTAATCGCGTACCTCTGCTCTAGTCGGTGCGCGCACGCTCCGAACTACAGTCATGGTGGAAGAAAATGAGTCCTATTACTTTCCGGACAAACCCTGTATATACTAGACATTTTAAACGCACATTTTTCATGAAAATAGGTAACGCGCAACCTCAAGATCCTTTTAAACATAAGTGTCTAATAAAATCGCTGCCATGACATCATGAAAAGCTGAAATTGAGTCCTAAAGGTTTCTGAGCTAGCTTTGTGGGGAGTTTATGGAAGAAACAAATAAAAAACTGTTGGATGTCGACAATAAAGCTGCATTCTCACAGGACAAAAAGACAATAGCGTGTAACACTTTCAATTTTTTTGTATGCTTCTTAGCTTGAGTGGGAAGTGAACATGAACCAACAAGGCTCGTAGACTGTTCACACTGTCACGACTATGTTCATTCCTTGAAGTCGACCTTGGAGGAACTTCTGGTTGAATGTTGTGCTGTTTTGAGTTCAGTTTTTAGTACAATATTAGCGAAAAGGTAGAGAGTCCCGTAAGGAGTTAAAAAATCGGAAGAAAAAGCACTGTTGGGTCACCACCACATGCTGATAATCACATGCGTCGCTCTCGATTGGCGTTGTCACACCTGCAAAGCAAACGTGTTTTATATTGAGCGTGAGCGATTGCGGACTTGCCTCCTTCCCGATGACGTCATAAGCAAACTCGAGGCACTTCATTTAGATGAGACCAATTCCAAGAATGGAAGAATGACGTTCCATGCGAACTCAGCTTAATGTATGGGTGAACATATTTTCTCTGCAGAAACGTGGGATTATTGCCATTATTTTATTTTGCTTCATATTTTGAACGTTCATATGAAAGATGAAACAGCAATGTGAAAAGCAATACTACAATGTGGTTCCGGTTTAAACTCCTATAGCGCTGCTCCATCGACTAACATATTTTGTATTAAAAACTAGTAGTAATAGTAACACCTTGTATTTGAATAATAAACTATGGAAATACTATAAATACACTGGTTTACTGGTGAAAACGTTCGATATATACTACATAAATCATCCAAATCAGGCAACTGTTTCCGGCAAAAACATGCTGTAATTGTGGCTATCTTTTTGTTGTTGGTGCATTAATTTATTGGAGGACGTAACAGGCAGTTTGGGAAAATCATATTAGCTGAGGCTTTGTACATCACGCCTGCAATTTTTTGTTTACAAAACTATGTCTTGCGTTCAGATCGAGTAATGCAATACTGAGGGAAACCGAGTACTCAGTGCATCCCTAGTATTTATGACCGATTAAGATATTTATGAACCATGTAGTTTGGACATCAGTGATTACTGATGTATGAGGTTAACATAGAAATACACTGACACGGAAGGATGCATCAGAAAATGCTTATCATGTGACATTCGCCTTAGGAGACGTTTTGTATCAATTCGTTTCAGCCGAGAGGAAGCAATCACTGGGCTACAACTGGCATCCTGAATGCCTGAGATGTGAAGAGTGTGGTAAAAGGCTCAATCCTGGACAGCATGCAGAACATAAAGGAGTCCCCTACTGTCATGTGCCTTGTTATGGGGCCTTATTTGGACCTCAACTATTTGGTCATGGGACCAGGGTAGAGTCCCATAAAAGTTTTGGGGCACAGAAGGAGTCGCCAAAGCTTGGTAAAAGCCCTGCATTACCTAGATCACATCTGGAGTCAAAGATCAAGGTAAAAATAATTATTGTTGAAAAAAAAAATTAAAAAATGGGTTACTTTTTGCACAGTAAACACACTGTAATAGGAAGAATCCCATGTTATTCATATGGCAACACGATTGACCTATGCCGTTGCCAAATGGCAATTTTTGAGGGTGTGCTGTGGGTGCCAGTTTGTGCATAGATGTCACTCAACGTTACCAGTTCTACTTGAATATCTGATATTGCTGTATGTAGTTTTATCTGTTAGAGAAAAGTGGGATATGAGAGATCTTATAACAGCATGTGTTATCAATATTTTGCGCTATCTTGACGAATAAGTGCTTTCTTGTGTTTTAAAATAGCAATGTTAATAAAACAAGCTGTTACCCATATGTTGCAAATACCTCAATATATATATATATATACAGTTGAGTCATTAATTTTCAGATAATGATTGTAGAAGGAAGATAAACCAAAATATGTGTGTAAAAATAAAAAAAAATTAAAATAGATTTTAGCTTGTTTTATAAAGTATCCTCCCGACAAGTATTTCAGTGCGGACCTGTATTTGATCGTGAGGTCTTGGAGCACCGGCATGCCCTCCCTTGTGAGGTCTTAAGTCACCTGATTCACGAGCCCGTTGTACTACATTAACAAAGGCACGAGGGGTTGGTTGCACTCGATTGGGAAACCGATCCGCATAAACATGTGCCATTTTTTATTTCGTTTGAGCCACGCAGCAAACACCACTATTCACTCACGCGTTACCGACTGACAGATTGACTGAATAAAAACATCGTGATCAGCGTTTCAAATTCTTTCGTTCTTTTGTTTCCGATGCGATGAACAGATAAGGCGGATTATATCCGTTGTTTCCAAACACGAGCACATAATATTATTATTGAGACAGGGCGGTACTCAAACTTCTAAAGGGCTATAACTTTGTTACTTTGATTTTACCACAAAAATGTTAAAGGAAAAAAACATTTCTTTTGATCAGATCTACTCACTGTTAAAATAAATGACTCAACTTCGAAGTCACCCTGTATATATATATATATTTCATTTTTCTACAAACAAATCAGTATTAACACCAATTATGGTACAGAGTGCGTTCATTGTTGGCGCCTGCGTGAATCAAAAATTAGGAATAAATTGAATATGTTACTACATTTCACAAATTTCTTTATTATTATATCAATAATATTACTGTCCATGGGCACCCAGGAATTTTTCTCAGAGGTGTAAGTCATAGTCCAGACAGAGTAGTTATATAAAGAGAAAACAGTTAGACAAGGCGAATAAATTAGAGTGACGTGTTCTTATTTTGTAGGAGATAAATACCGTGTTGCAGGTATATAATCATTTTTGGACGAATTAATTGATTATCACTCGCAGTGATCCCATTTTTTGTTCAAATTTACATTTGATTGGACATTCACTCATGTCGGGGATATTTATCATCTGTTTGCACCCTTTTCGCGAGAGAAGTTATTGTAAAAACCTGTATATATCCTGTATGCTTGGAAATGTTTCCAATAATCATGTACCTCTTGTTATATTTATTCCCTAACTGATTGGTAGGTATACAACCAGTACTATGAAGGGCGTTCAGGTGAGATCCGTTGCCGTGAGGTGAACGGTCGTTATGTCCTAGAGGGCCCACTTAGGGTCAGATGGGGCGTCAGAGGAGTTATTCATCTCAAAGAAGATGATGATCAGCGTACAGTTGTGACAGCGCTACGAAAACGTAATTCGTATAGGTGAGTACTAATCTTTTCACAAATATTGCCAAATAACCCAGCGCCTTTGTTTTGTTATATTTAAATATTGCAAAATAAAAGTTCTACTACAATGGAGTATTGTTCTCCTAGACAAACCTCTGAATCAGCCAATATGATTTGATTTTATTCCAGATACCAGTAGTACCTATCCATTCTCGTATATTTTATGTCAAATTCCCAATGTTACAGAATAAAGATTATTTCCCACCATCTGACAGAAGCCTAACATCTATCGTGACTTTATTAATAATTATTTTGGAGAATATCCCGAGTAGCGAGTTCAAGCGGTAAAGGAAAAAAGCGTATTAAAAAGCGAAACCATTTCGATTTGTAAGTGTATTTAAACCGCGAATGGCGATTTAGGCACAGCAGTGCTGCCACTACACCGCAACCCTGCGACACTGATGACGACGTTGCCGATATACCAAGGGATGCAAGCTGCGAGGACGTTTCTGTGAGTACGACGTCAGAGGGTGAATGGGCTACCGCAAATGAAGAACACTCGGATAATGTACAGGTAATCTTATATTATTTTGACCAATTTTCCTGCAGTCCTAATAACAATCATTATTGGTTAAGTTTTGACACTGCTATCAAGATATTATTGAATTAATGACGAAGAGCTCCTCTGGTTAATATCAGAAATTTAAAAATAGCGTGCAATGCATCAGCTTGGAAAGCATATACATGATTCTTAGTTTCAATTGTAATAGACAATTTCGAAATGAAAATCCACCCGTCTCTAATTTTTCTCCTTCTTACATGCTTTGAAAAGACTGATAAATCTCAAAAAAAAATTTCCACTTACTGACGTTGACTATACCAATTTCCGTGAACTATAAATAAACCTTTATACTGTTGCTAAGCTATCAATACTGTGCCAAGATTTCAGACAATCCCAATGGTTCTTTCGGACTTATAGAGGAATCAAAGATGTTTTTCTATTACTGCAGTGTCAGATTAATGACTCATAAACTGTAGAGGTTTTTGGCCCTTTTCATAGTGGTAACCTGCTTTCAAAATTTACATGTACTGAATAAAAATTAACTTTTTACTTCCAGTGCAAGTCGGGAATAGACAGTGCCAACAATACAAGCCCCACAGATTCTACCGATTCGCCGACCTTATCACCCCAGTACAACATCCCAAAAAGCGTTACTTTGCCTACGAAGCTTGATCTCAAAAATGACTGGGATGAACTGGACGAACTGCTGAGGGTAGAAAGAAAAATTGATGTGGCTGACAATCCCTACCAAACAATGCCAGCGACGTTATTGTCACAGAGTATGTCTGATAACAGTGGTGCGATGGTAAAAGAAATGGATACTGGTGGTAAAGATGAAAGGTAGAGTATAATATGTATTATCTATATCCACTATACTCACTTTTCGTTGTTATTTGATTTTGCAGTGTAACTGAGGGGCTAGATGATACAGTCACCACAACAGAAGATTCTAAAACTCTTATAGCACCTATTGTGAACGGTACTAATGAAGAGGACAAAATACCTTTATTAATTTCTTCCATGGAGTCTTCCTTCACAAGCCAAGATGATACTTGGTCTACTTGTAGTAATCATTTAAATAGGTAAACTATTCAACTTTACGTATGAAAGTCCAGTATGCACCAAATGCCAAGCTTTTGTTAACCAATGTATGGGACATGGCTGTATCACAGGAACTGTTGTAACACTTATCTTGTTCTTCCTCCAGTTTTTACGAGGCTGACTCGATAGTGTTAAGGTATTACCAGCGCGGCAGTCAGAGGTAGAGTTTTTCCTTAACCACCTGCCGAACAGCAGTACGCCTAATAGCAACAAAATCGGTCTGTACGCCTCTGCGCTCATATTCCATACCGACCTCCCGAACATGACAGAAACAATGCATTTATCGGTCTTTCTGCTAAGTGTTTCCATAACTAATCAGATCTAACGCTTGTCTAGTTTCATACGTTTTTTCTCAACGAAATGTAAATGTAATCGGTAAGCCGGAATCCACAATTTATTAACTACCGAGCTAAAATTTGAAAAACAGGGTGGTGGATCTTCTTCGAATGTTGAGGTAACGCTTTAACGCCCCTCAAGTTTCATGTGATCAAACATTATAAAAAATTTGTTTCTGACAAAAATTTAAAAATTAAATTTATTTTGTTAAGCGCCTATGTAAATATAGTAGCAAAAACACCGCTTTTATTGTACGAAGTATAATTTACTCTTACACTAATGTATCACAACACCTGCAAACAATTTATGACAAAGGTATAACCATGTCGACTGATTCAACACACGCTATCCATCGACTGCCTTCCGCCATCTCTGCCTATATTTATTCCCTTATCAACGAGTCGAAAAAACTCCCAACGTTTTCCAGACCCAAAGTCGTGAATCTTAAGCGAAGTGGTCTAGATGGCAGTAGATTCATCTCCCTCTCGAACGTGAACTTTATTGCTCTCGATGTACGGTCGCATAACTGGTTGCCTAAGAGTCGATATTTCTGAACACCTGTCGACAGTGGTACCCAGAGTTCCAGTTATACGAGGGCGTTACAATATTATGTGGATTCTCGGGAACTAAACGGTTCAAAGTTGACAGAAACCTGTATCAATATATAGAATATAAAAATTAAAGAATTCGCATTTCTTTAAATAGTGTCCAAACTAAATAACATCTTAACGTGTTGAGGATTTTGAATTTTGATGTTAATAGTCGAATCTAAATTGTTGAAATTGCAATTTGTTATTAAAGCAGCTTGGATCCACGACCCACATATTGCATATATATTTAACCATCAAGACAGAATTTAGAGAAGCGCTATTAGAATCTTTTTAGGCTATGCAAAATGACGTCATGAGGCGGAGTTCGGTCCTACATCTTGTCTTTATAATATTCTAACATGTGAAACCTGGCTATTTCTTTGTACAGGGTCTGTCAGAAAGAACGCATGTTTTTTAAATGAGTAGTACAGTCAAAATAAGTATGGGAAAAATATTTTATTATATCAAAATACTCAGATCTAAAAGCTATGTCGGCCATATAGCTCCCTTGAGCCGAAATGCGGGTATCTACAGGGGATCGCCTACAGCGGTTCATTAGGGTACAAGATAAAACAAATGGTGAAAATAGTGCTCTGATAGAAATATTTCCCGAAACAAACAAAAAAACGGTCAAGTTGCGCAAAACATACATTCATATCAATTTGACAGATTTGTAACGTTATAATGTAAGCGAATGCCACACGATCAGGATTTACTGTGGACTGTCAGTAATTATTAATGTATAAGGTTAAATAGCAATCCATTGACATTGACAGAATGATCAGTACTGATGGTCTATGGTCTTCAGGTCTATGTCAGGGCCCGACTGCCTGTGCCGAGTAAGAGACCCCCACTCCCCAGAATTCGACAGTGTCAGCGTGACAAGCACTGATATTTCCACGTATTCTGAACAGAATGAGGAAGTTGTTTTGAGGAGGCCACACAGAGGTTCGACTGCGATAAAACGAAGGCCTGGGAAAAGGTTGTCGAGAACAAAGGTGATTTGGAATTGGTGTCATTGGAGTTTGTATGCCTTCCGATATTCGTGAAGATAGACTGTATGCTACTGATTCTCATATACTCCCGTCAAAGCAAACACCAGAGCGCGACGTTCAAATTCGCGCACTCCTATTGGTTATAAATGCCTAGGCAGACGAGCAACAAGCAAATAGAAGCGGTGATCTAGTGCCCATGTTTGTTTTGACGCGGAATAAATTGAGATTCAAATAAACTTTAGTATTATCCTAAGACAATAAAATCATTTTCAGGTGAAACGAAGGTGCTCAATCAATGGCCATTTTTACGATAGGGAAACAAGTTTTTTCACTCCGCCATATGGAAGCCAAATGAGCGTTTGGGTTACATCACTAGTTAGTACTGGAGAGGTGATAAATTTAATTTTAGAAAAATATAAAGTAGAGAGTGATCAGCAGAACTTTGCTCTGTTTGTTATCAGGGATAATGGAGGTGAGTTTAGCATGAATCTCGTTTCGATTAGATTTTTTCGACAGTTGGAAACGCACCTGGCGCGGTACTTGCTCCGCAACATGTTCTAGGCCGACAACTTCTGGTGCATATTTTGAAACATATTTATTTTCATCTGGAACATTTTGTCTGAATCAGAGTGTTGGGAAAATGAAGTAGCAATGATTTTTGGGTTATTAAGGCATTGTCTGCTATTATTAACGCTTGATGTTTCTCTAATACGAGCGTTTGGCATCTTCAAAAGCATCTCAGTGGCTCTGCAATGGTGAAGGCTAGGACGATACTGACATGACACTGAGTCTTCCCTTGACCAGTGTCCGCGTCTTTCCCTAAGGGCCGTATCGTCGGTCGTTCCTACAATTGTAGGGCGCCTTTATGATCTCCTTGATTTTCATAGTTTTCTACCATTGCGTGTCAGCGCTCTATGTTACAAATGTCTGTACCAAATTGTTCATGCTTTTGATTTATATTATATGTTATATAGCCTGAATTTTCTACAATTCAAGAAGAAAACATAGCCTGGCAATAGGAGAGCGCTTACGCTGACACAGAACAGTAAAATATAGAAATATCCCAGTCCGTCTGAAGGAGAGAAAAGACTATGAAAATCAAGGTGGCCATAACGGCGTCCTACAATTGTAGGAACGACTGACGATACGGCCCTAAGTTCTCGGTCATTAGCGCTCGCGTTGTAAACGGAACGTCTTTAGTATGTATTAGTCGAATACGTTCTATCATCAAGAAGCTTCTGATCCCGGTAGCAACGGGAAAATTAAACGATAAAAGTCCGGTGTATAATAATCATTCGAAATACCATGGTATCGTTGGCGTGGTATGCGTGGTGCGATGCTTCATCATCGTGGAGGCTGCTGTCGACTGTGCAACTGTTCTGAGGTGGTGTCGTCATGGACACACTGCTACATGAGAAATATTCATATATTTTAGCAATATTTAGATATTAGGAGTACGTACCCGTTCAGCGTTCTGCGATTTAATTTCGCCTTTTGAAACGATTTGACTCGTGCATTTTCTTTCAAACCCCCAACGAGGTCGTAGGAAGTATATATTCGATCTACTTGACACCATGGATCAATTGTTTATTTTCTGAAGGAGCCTCCTGTATGAAATCCCTTTAATTTTAAAAACGCGTTTTTCAGAGCAAAGACGACTGAAAGAAGACGAATACCCACTGCTAACTCGCGTACTGTTGGGACCTCACGAGGATATAACAAAATTGTATCTAATGGATAGTCATACCACGCCAGAGGTTAGCAGTGAGGTGGCGCAATTTCTGAATCTCTCGTTGACAGAGTGTAGGGCAATATTAGGACAGTATTATTCACAGGAAGAGAAAGAGGTCATGCGCATAAAAGAAAAGTGAGTATAACATATTTCAAATAAAATGCCAATACTTTTGTTAATATTGGTTAGATGTCAGATAAGGTTTCTCAATAAGGGTGGGTCGATATTGAAACTTCCGCTCCTCATCATGTCTTACTTTGTACATCTAGATCTAGAGTATTGAGATTGCAGAACAATCATCTTTATTAACCTTTGAAAAACTAATCAGTCAAATATGTTACCTCTTTGAGTCGGTACCTCGGTTCTAAGTTTCTGCCTTCGTGACTGCTTCATTATAAAAAATATTGTTCTAGTTGTTTTCATCAAAGTAACCCATGCTCTTTTTTGCAGGTATGAAGAAATGAAAGTCAGGATCTTGCAGAAAATAAACGTGTTGCAGATAAAGTCATGATTTTCATGGGGATGGTCTAACTTTGCATACTCATTGTGATTAACCTACTTTTAGTGCTTGCTAATGATTTTTCGTATATTTTTACTGTTGTCTTTGTGTGTTGCTTTTTATATCTTTATATATGTCATATATTTTTCAATTATTTTTTGTAAACGTTTTTGTCGTATGAAATACTGACGTTTTAACGAAGACTGTAAACGAATATCTATATAGAACATGTAATAATAAATACAATATATATTTAGAAGAATTTTGTTTCCCTTTCCAAGTATTTAAGAAAACCAAATATGAGATTTTTTTAGAATTGTTCGGATCACAAAAACAAATCATGTACCGATCAATCTCATTCCAGTTTCCAAAAAGTATGACAGGTCTTTTTTCTGAACAAAATTATTAACAAATGGAAAATAGCAGAAACGGTTCAGCATTTTTGGATGATTTTTTTCTGGATGTTTGGCTATTATTTCAGATTTACCGTTATGCATTTTCCAGTTAAAAATAAATGTAAAAAACGATTTCTGGCGGTTTTTTGTAATATAATAACAAATTAACCGTTACGGCAAATTAGCCGTGTAAGGCCTTGTTTTGGGGGTATTTTCATCACTAACAACTTTGCTTGGACCACTTACACCAATAGTCCATAAATATTTGAATTTACGCGAAAAAGTGTTTTTTCCAACTTTGTTGTTATAGCAAATTTTTTTATCTCGGAGAGGTGCCTTTCCGTATACAATAATTCCATTGTAAAACAGCTTGTTACATTTTTTTTTCACTCAAATTCTATATATCTTGGCCATATTATAAATAAACAAAAAGTATACTTGAAATGTGTATATTTATAAAGTAGAATAGGATAACAACGCGTGTTGTTGTACAGCTCTCTGATATCAATATAAGAAAAAACTGAAAAGGCGTCACTAATAGTAAAACTTCTGTATAATATACTCAATACACAAATGCAAAACAAACAGGATATCACAGCTCCTGGATACAAAAATTAATAAATTTGTAAAAAGATCATATAATCCTTGTCCCACTTCTGTCCTTGGCAAAATTTATGTACAATAGAATTTGTAAATTCAACAATAGTACAAGGGAGCATAAGCAAAAGTTTATGTAAATTTAAAACTTACAATTAGACCTGGCGTTACGTATTTTTAGATGTGGAGGTCAATCCACTCTTTATACGTAATTCTTCGGCGACGGCGAGCATTCATATTTTCAATGAGCTAGGCTTTAAAAGTTAGTTGTGCTGATATTCGACAAAAAAGATGTGCTGGTACTGATACTATAACTATCGCGATTCACAAAGATATGAACTATAATTATAATCAGTGGCGTAGCTAAATCCGCCTACCCCCCCTCTACAAAAAACAAACATTGAAGCACTGCCCCGTACGCAATTCAATAGCTCCGCTTCTGATTATAAAACTATTTACCTCTCAGCATCAACATTTTTTTGACGGTTTTCTTATCACATTTCTTCAGAAGAGAGGAAATATATCTGCCATGCCTTGTCTTGTGTAGACTCAGAGGTGCATAAAAAAGTAAGCAAGCCATATCAATCATAAAAGACCTGATGAAAATATTTCGATAAATACCCTTTTCTATCACTTTACAGTTGTACTGTCTTGACCAAGGAATATATCAAGCTTCTGTAATATTTTTTAACTGATGGTAAATACCCAGAGCACTCAGAAAAGCGTCGGTCGTCTCCTCTCTCCTTAAGATATACAATTCGGATATTGAAGTTATAATGCCTTCCATCATCAACATAGTTTAGAATTGTCGCCTAAGTGACTAAACAATAAATAAAAAATGTTTTAGGACTGAGGTACACCGAATTTTGGTAAACATAGTCCGAATTTCGTTTCAATCCCTGAGAATACTGGAAGTGACACTGAATAACCGCCTATATGATCCGGATTGTGAGGCTTCTTTACATCTCCTATGTGGGTCACCTGTTTCACTTCTGATCCGGTCGGCCTCCTGGAAATACGTCTTATTAGAATGAACTCGAAGCCAAATTTTTTGAAAAACAACATGCAAATTTGATCATCCTACAGCAAAAGTGATTTCTTGTACATCTCCGTTTTTCGCACTTCATTTTTAACCTTAACATGCTGCTTAAATTTGCGTGATGAGTACTTTCATATTCCAGTGAGAATATTGGAATAGAGAAAATTCACATAAAGTGGCAAAGGAACATATTTAGTAAAATTTATTCGACCAACCCACTTAAAATGCGCGAGTTGGTTTTTTGAAAATTAATTTCGGATCTGAAAAACTGCTTCTACTTACGTTCCACCGAAGTCTACATATAAGTATCTTTGTAGAAGTTCATATGTCACCAACGTCACGCCAAACTGAGGTGAAGATCTGAAGACACGAGCTGGAAAAAAGACAAAAATTATTTTTTTCCAACATATTGTATTAATAAATTAAACACTGAATAGTAACACATTTTCTTGAATACTTCCACTGTAACTTAAAATGATTTACACGGTTCCTACAGTAATGTTTTTAAATGACATATATTACCTACAGATCCTTTCCAAAATGCACTAAATCCTTCTTCTTTGTAGATCTTTCTGGCAGCATCTAGCAGACCAGAATAAGTAGTTTGTCCAGCACGGGCAACAACCTGCGAAGAAATTGAAAAATTGTTGGTTATATACAATTTTTCATAGCTAAGCTTTAAAACAAAAATCAAACTCAAGCAATAGTATGCGGCAGCACTGGCTAGATTTCACATACTTGGCGGCAGCACTCGACTTGTAATATGATCCCGCTTCACCAAAGACGGGAATCAACAAGCTAATTCTCAGTGTTGAATTTGTTTTTGCAACAAACTTTTAGAGAGACATTCGAAATTTCTTGTCAAATTGTGCACTAAATACCCGCTAGTGCATTCCATGCCTACTACAGGTGAGCATGAAGTGAACGACAGCTAGTTCAAAAGTGGCATAGCAAAATAACGTCATAAAAAATCGATGTGGTGATTTTGTTTTGCTGCTTCGTTATTTCAATTTTGCGCTGTAATAGCACCTTCATTTTCAAGCAAAGTTATGTTCTCACCTGTAATCTCGTTTTGATAACATCAGCCGGCGTACACAGTCCAGCAGCGGGGACTCCAGCAATCAAACCAGCTGCAAATAGCGAAAACGGACTATTGTATCCATTTTCGTCGGCGAATTTCTCTTTGGCGTGGGCGTATCCCGGGAAATAGATTGCACTAAACGGGATGTCACGAAGCCAACAAGCCTTCGCGCCTGAAAATATGACATTTATAGACCATAAAGATGTTTCCATTATTTCTACGTGGACATGCTATTAATTACGTTCACTACCAGTTAGCGGCTAAAACATGTCGAGTTTGCTTCAGCCTGTTATGTTTATTATCAGACTATTTAACTGACACTCAAGCCCGGTTGTATCGCCTTTTAGTCTAATCATATTAGACCCCTGGTTTGCGAAATAATTGTAAAGTCTGGTCTTATTGTTGCAAGTTGTTCAAGGGGGTATTCAAAACATCGACACATAAAATGGGTACAGAAAACGTGTTTTTTGGGATTCAATCGAAAGTGTTGACAGGAACGAAAAAAACTTTTCATATAAGATTATTATCTATTTATGAGACCTACAAAATGAAACCACACGTAAAAATATCCGACTAATAGCAACAATGTTATGGCCGACAAACGAGTCTAAATGCAGGTTTTGGCACACGTTTTCTCATTCTTTGTTGTCAAATAAAAAGTTTTCCCACAAACGTTGGTGTGCCCATTTTATGCGTCCCCTTGACCAACTTGTGCCAATAAAACCAGACTTTACAGTCATTTCAGGGAAGTTTGCTAATATGATTAGACTATTTCTCAAATCTACTACTTAGCAAACGAGATCCGAGGTCAACATCAAATTGCGGTTTTGTTGCACCACTCCGATTTGGTGAACACTCAGTAGAGATGTTATTGAGATGTTTCTCGGACTTCCATTGTTCTTCTGATTCACGACGTTTTGATTGATATGCAAGTGAACTGGCGAACATGCTCCTTTCTTGACTTTTTATAACGTTTGATGACGTCTCCGGTGGTTGGTTGTGACGTGTGCATCCAGCAATCACGAAGAAAGGCGTAATTAGAAATATCCGGGAAGAAATCGACCGCATCAAATAAGAACTAGTAAGAAAATATCTACCCAAGACGACCGATAAATGAAATTCTGAAAGAAAACAACACTAACAACAGCAGACACTGATTCTACCATATGATGAGGAAACAAGTGATGCAATCAGAAGACTGGGAAGACGATAAATCGAAACTAGATTTTCAAGCTAATTACACCACACTTCGTAGTAACCTCACACTCCATGGTCAACATGGTCGTTGTTTCTGATAGGTTGCTACAAAATATAAACACGCGAGCTTTTCCATGTAGAACTTGAAGGAACTCATCCGCGGTTTTTAATTTACCAAAAACACATACTGTGGTCAGTGGGTCAAATCACAAAAATGTCGAACGGGCGAGTTGAGATTTTAGGTTAGAAAATCCACCTTAAGCAGAGAAATTCTTTGACTTGTGCTCAACTGCCTGTTTAAGTTCCACTCGAGTATTAGGTGTATCTGGTACAACAAAAATATAGAAGTTAAGGTTCAGCTTAGCTTAAAGTTATCCTTAACAGGGCGGTGCAACCGAGCTAGATGATAATTCTCATATAAGTTTTGCGTCAGCTACTATACCTTTATATAAGCCAAAAAATCCTAAATCTTTCACAACTGTCCAGGCTCTCACTTTAGCGCCCCCCGCTATTTCTCCAGCTACTTGCAATCGAATTTTGACAATTTCTAATGGATTCGTAAATATGACTTGGGAAGCTCCAGCCTAAAATAAAAACATAAACGTTACACATAACGATAACTTGAATATTCCACTAAAAATGATCAGGATATACTACTATTTGTGAAAGATATATGAATGCTTTTTGACAATCCAAGAGTCATCTGTTTTGTTAGAAATCCAAAATGTCAATTAAAGTATACTTTCTCGACTCTGAAGTGGATGACAATATAAAAGTGCGTAAATCTACAAGAATTCATAATCGTGACAATTTAAACAATTTTAGAACAAGTTTACTTACACAGGCACCACTAAGAACTTCACCCCACATGGGAATATTTCCATTTTTATCCATTAGCTTATCCCTGACAAAATCGTTTACCTGTAAAATATTTGAATATAAATATACATTCAGAATAAGAGAATAAATATATACTTTTTCTGGGATAAGGACAAACTGCGATGAATACCGACGCTTCAAGCACTTCAAATCATTACTCCTTTTGTCATAACCTGCCATTCTGTGAGTTGCACCGGTCTAACGGCCGAATGAGATGTATTTTATAAAATACGTTAAAAAGTGTCGATGATAGGATGCCTGAAGAAAACTGCAGCAGACTATTTTTATTTAAATTTTAAAAAGGGCAATGAGAAATTTGTCGTTTTTTTTCCTCGCGCACAATGAATTTCGTTTATTTTACTATAACTGTTAAAGACATAAAATGGTGTCAACAAAATTTCGGAAAGTAGCAACCTTGCCGAGATTTTGGACCGAGAAGTTTGGTGAATTAATTATGTTCCTTCTAGAAAACGTAGTAGGTTCGACCAATCAGAGTACTTTTAGTTATTTTGTTAGGGATTAATTCCGGATGCTAGAATTCCATCACTTAGTATACTGTGTCCCACAAGTAACATCGTCAAATAACTAATCTTACATATGTTTAGACAACGCCTAACATGAAACCTACAAAAACATGAAACTAGTTAAATTCAAACTGAGCTATGTGTTTATAGCACTCATATCCCAAAAACCTCATTTCTAGTATAACTCAAGGTTCGAAAATTTCAGAAACGTTGCTATTTAGCGCGAGATCCTTTGCCATTTATTTTGTTTTTGACTGCATTAGTAATGGGAACACAAATTATGGTTGTCAATAAGTCAAAAAAAGCCGACGTCAAAACCCGATAATAATTAGCCATCATTACTTTAATTAAAGATAGTTTATTCTGGATTTCTTTAGGCAAACTATGGCTGACAGTTTTTTAATATCTGAAAACATCTAAAATACTCTTCACCCGGCCGCCACTGAAGGACGAGAATAATACGCTCCGTTACTATCAAAACACCCGAATTTCGTTGTCCGTCTTGAACATTCGATAAAATCAGATAATCGCACTCCAAATATTTGCAATATTCATATTATCAGTATAGGCATCAAATTATTAAAAAAACCGTAGTTTTCATAACGTAATTAATGATATTCAAGGGGTTTGTACTTCATTCTTTGCCAGAAAATATTTTGTCGCTCACATACTTTTTTCAGAAGCCTAAATACCAGGGCACCGCGACTGCTATAAAGGGCTTAAAGGAATTTTGTTAATCCGATTTTTGAACTGCCTAAGGTTTGTGAAACTAGAAAAAGCCTCCCCAGGTAGACTAGCGACAATAGAGCAGTGTTATCGTTCTGGTCGACACGGTTAGGATAGGAGGCCGAAGTCAGGCGGGTCTGTCTGGCAGGCATATCTCGCGGCGGCATAATGGAGGAGAGCTCGAGGAGCAAAGCCCGTTGGCGTAGAGGTAGAAGGGAGCTAGATCGCCGGCGACCCGTTGGTCCGATACTGTCCGTCATCGATCAGTCTCTGGAAAGCATCGAGCAACCCAAACAAATGAGCAATACTCAAGGCTAGGCGAGTGAGGAGGTTACGTGGAGAAAAGTCCTTCTTAGCCCTAAAGAGCATTGCCTTGTTGATCTGGACTCCAACTAGCCAAACCTAATGACAAAAATTGCGTACACAACCGATTTCAATATTGGAATATTTCTGACACGTATCATCTCAAGGCTTACGTCTTACAAGAAATTATGAACCGACCAGATCGTACGATTACACTTTTTACTATTTACGTTCGGTTACACTGAGTTACATTACGGAACTCTGAGAGCTCCTTAAAGGTTCGTTCTCACGGTGCAACTAGCATCACAAAATCAAAGCTACGACCGCAACATTGTAGAATGTCATCATGAGAATACTGAATGTCAGCGCGTGAACATAGTGCGGAAACATCGTGACATTATATGATATCATCGAAGTGATTCTCTGGATCAAAATAAAATCCCCAAACCTAGCTGGCATGCCGAGGCATCCGTACAACCGATGTGCTTCCCTCGCTTTGCTCCCCGGCTTTCTTTAATTTTTATTTCCTTTTTTCTGTCTGAACGTGTTTAGTATCTAAGCAACCAGTCCTAGCAGACCTGCTAACTTACAAAGCATGAACCAGAACAAAACTTCCTATGGATTGCTCTGACAACAATAATGACGAAACAAGCATCGAAAACCGGGGTATGCGATTTTAAAAATATACTCACTGTGAGTTTTATAGCCTTTTCGGGTGCGACACCCATCAATTGCGGGACGAGCCCCCTGTACAATCCGAAGACGCCCTCGTGCCTGATTACTTTCTTGAAGCAATCGAAACTATTCCTGTACATCAGCTCACCAATAAAGGAGCCCGTCCTTTGGTTTTGCATCCGTGTCTTTACTAAATCTATGGGGTACACGGCTGTTGCTCCCACAGCTGAAAATACATCGTTTTATTATTTACAAACTGGTTGTTGAGGGGGTATCACGGCTCTAGGTGAGAGTAAACGTAATGGAAATGCAATAGGGGGCAAAAATGGTGCTGGAAAACCTAGCAACAAAATTTCCTATCTGAAACGTGGGCACCGGATAAAACTACGTATTGTAGTAATGGAAAATAACATATAAACATGAATTAGTATATCCCGCCAAGGTTTCTTAGTTATTTCATCGTCAGGCATTCTATATCTTAAATTAGTTTGATTAATTTTGGCATTGTTTCAGTGTCTAGCTACGCACTTTAACATGAGAGACGAAACGAATTAGTGAATGAAATCAACACCACAAAAATCCACAAAAAAACGGTTCCTCAACATTCCGTTGAAACTTCTAAAAATACATATTCTAAATATTGATTTTCGACTATAGTTGTAGAGGTCAAAAATGTTATTCATTATATCTCTTGACTGATATGTTCTGAAGTCATGATTTTGACTCGGGTCACTTTTAGCAATTTTGACTTTAGATCAAGCATAGTACTGAGGTACATGTATTCGAAAATATAGAATTAAAAAATTCATGCAAAAATGTCATCAAACCTGAAAATAAAAATAAACGATGCAGAAATACTGTAAAATATTACAGAACATCAATCACGGAGCTGAGCTTGAACACCTATGAGTATCTTAAAATCATACTGATGCTGAACATACTTATTTTTGTAATAATCTAAGAGTCTAGCCAAAATTCAAGGAAGAGAAAATTTTCAAGCTGAGCTACATAAACTACCAACATAGATTAATTACATGGTGTTTTCACTAATAATAATAGTGCCTTTCCTAAATAAAACAAAATATTGTGATATCCCCAATAAAATATCTGAGACTGGTCAGTACCAATAATCAGTACTTACCGAATCCCAATACTTGACACAATAAGAGCGGAAACATATTAATGAACTAATAAAGTCAATTAAGTTTGGGGTCTAAAATAGCTAATAAACACACTCACCTCCGGCTATGGAACCAAGCGAAAATCTGTAGGTGCTCTCAAGGATTTGAATTAACACACCTCGATCTTCTGGACCCTGAAAGACAATATCGAATCATTTTTGTCATATGTGATGCACTGCGATACGTCTAGCTTTTAAATAAAAATGTATTCAAAAATTATAAATAATAATGAATTATTTTACATATTTGCAATTAGAAAACTCAATACTAAAGGCCGATTAATAAAATCTCATTCAACAAGGTTTTATAACAATATTCTAGTACTATTCTTCAAAACCCATTGTAACTCATGTCGATATTTTGCTCCATGATCAAGAATCAAAATTAAATAATCATAAACTTATAAACTAACTAATCAAAACAGCAAATAGAAGAAAATGAAGACATGATTTGCATGCATCAAATAATTTAGGATGACCCAAACTCCAGCGGATACGTTTGATAAATAATAAATTCAATATCGCGCAGTGACCAGAAAATCAACTGTTTGATCTGAAATTTAATCCAACGCCAATAAGACTTGATGGCCGTCCGGTGTTGACTCACATCAATTTAATAATTCTTTCGTAACAATTCACAATGTCCATTTGTTAACCAGGAGTAGAATCATTTTTTGGTATTGTTATTTGGGTGTTGTCATTATAGGTCTGGAAGAGACACCAATAGAGACGAGGCGATTGGTTATGTGCAATTAAAAAGAGAACAGGGTCTCTTCTCTGTATTGTAAAAGCTAGGATTACGATTACCCTTTGTTTCATAATGCAACAACCAGCATTATAAAAATATAATTTCTCTCTCTTTCGTGACAATATTTCTTAAACTTTTGACATGACTGAAACATCTATGAGATTCCATTTACGCTACTGTTCTCACTGTTTTATAGCAGTTATTTTCTATTCTGACAATACTTACTGAAACAGCATGAATTTCTGCTAATCTATTCGTAATCTGTTTGAAGTATTGTTCAGGGGCGATGGCATACAGATCATTATATACTATCCTCCTAAAAATAAAGAAAATCCATGATTATCTTAAGGAAATGTACAAAAAAATGCAAAGACACAAACCCATCCCATACGTCGTCTTCGTTGTACAAATATCTAAGTTCCAAACAGAGCAGCAGAATCAAAGAAGAAAACACATAACATGAATATTCCGCCACAAATAGAAAAAGTGAGTATAAAAAATGATTACTTACAATTTCATTCAAACATGGAATTTTTGAGATAGTGAGTTTTTTGATAACTTGAAATGAGATGGCTATTAAGTCAGAATGGCGAATCTACGTTGTCGAATTTGAGTGGTATTTTTTTCTGCCAACGCAGATATGTAAAGAAAATAATACATGTTTCTATCATCGAGACAGTTGATGTCAAACGACAGAAGAATTGCAATTCATAAATATAAATGTTTGACCACTAAAGACTGGAAACTTAGCACATACTCTATTACATCCAACTGCCATATGGCCACATGCATTGTGTTGTTAAATATTCATGTATGATTTAACTGACCACAATGATCTTAATGTGACTCTTTTGATGACCTTGAGCAGCTCTAACTTTCCCTAGTGTATTCAAGTACAACTCTGAACAAAATGTTAAATACCCAAACTTGCAGTTTTTCTACCTCTGGGACTGTTTGGAGACTGATGTAATTCCAGTCACCTTATGCAAGGTCGAAGTTAAATTCAGGATTACTTATAGGGAAGATATGCTATTTTTGTTTTGCTCTCAATTTCAAGGAGTCCAGAATAGAATAATTCAGAGTATATGAAAAATTGAAACAAATCAGTTGTTTCCTGCGAAAACGGACATATATTTCTGATGACGTCACTCCTGCTGTTTTCAGTCAAGCCATCACCAACATTGAACAACTACCTATATATGACACATATGATAGATATCATATGTGTCATCTAATACCACCGGTGCTTCGACTATTGAAGAACTTGGTAGGCAGAGCAATCTGCTGATCATCTAACCACTAATACCTTGTCACACACAGAAGTCACGTCACTGATGTTGATTCGCAGATTAAAGTCCTCCTTTATATTGGATATTATGACTGTTAAATAAAAAATACTGCAATAACTCTTATTGAATTATTTTTCACAATTTTATTCATATATTTTCCATAAATATGTTTGCATCTTCCCTATTGGTAACGATTCATAATAAAATCTTATACCCGCCTAAGTCCTGATCTATACCACTACCTCATGCTTATGTAACGAAATGCAGTTATTCTCACTCAACTAGATGCCTAATTTTAATAGACAAGAATGTAAAATTACAGAAAATGGATTGAAGAAAAATATGTAACCGAATCATTATACAAAATTGACATTGTAGCATTAATGCTTAATAAATCTTCAACAACAACAAAAAATATTCAGTTTAGAGCGATGATCCGTCCATTCAAACTCGACCTGCGTGATTCGCTTCTATCATACACATACACAACAACTACACTACACTCTACAACACTTACCCGGTTTGATGCAGGATGTCGCAAAGATGGAACAGAATGTCCACCTCTAGCGGCGTCATTTGGGACATGGCCTGCGCAGAATGCATGAATTCCTCCTTGCTGACCTCTTGCGTCCTGTGGCCGTTCGTTACGTTCAAGTAGATCCGTTTCACCAACTCCATGTTGTTCAACAAGGAGTTGAAGGCTATGAAGTACGGGAAACTGACTCTGGAGCCAGCTCCTTGAGATAGTTGTGCTGCCTGAAATATTTTTAATCAATATGGCATAGAGATTCTACAGGGTATCCCACAAGCCGACGTCAAGCCGGAAACGTACTTTTCATACAGGGTCCGTCAGAAAGAACGCATGTTTTTCGAATGGGTACTACATCGAGTGGGCTGGTCCCGTGTCGGTGGGGAAGGGCGTGATGGATAGTAGGAGAAGTGCGGTTTCAGTTGGCAAGATAGTTCGGAACGTTGAGCATCGTGTGTTCACCGTACGTCGGTACTTTCAAAATGGCGAGTCTGACGTTAGAACGCAACACTACCAGACCGTAACACCGCTTTGAGATGGTTGGAAGCATTCAATATAACAGGTAATGTGATGAAGAAAAAACCGCCAGGGCGAAACCGTACTGTTAGAACCCCCGAAAACGTAGACAGAGTGAGAGTTGACACGCTGCAAAGCCCGAATCGTTCCGTCCGTTTGCGTGCCAGTTCCCTAGGGATCCACGCGTCCTCTGTAAGTCGCATCTTGAAGGATTTAGTGTTCCATCCTTACAAAATCCAAGTTTGTCAACAACTGTTGCCAGGGGAATATGCACAACGTGTTAATTTTGCACAGCCCATGATTGAACAGTTGGATATCAATGACATGACGTTGCTTATGAGTGATGAAGCACATTTCCATTTACATGGATACGTCAATAAACAAAATTGTCGATACTGGACTCCAGTTTACCAAAGCAAGCCTCGGGTCCTCGTCGATTTAAAGGAGGAAATAAGAATAGAAGTAACCCAAATTCCTGCACGGATGCTGGCCGACGCAATGGGCTCATTTCGGGAGAGGCTTGATTCCTGCATTTTGGCTCAAGGGCGCCACATGGCCGACATAGTTTTTAGAGCGTAAATTTTGTTTTACTCATTTAAAAACATGCGTTCTTTCTGACGGAGACCTCTATTATAGGTGTTAAAAAAATCGGAAAAGTCTACACCGTGTGATGATGTTCTAGTTCCCATTACTACAAATTTCAATTTTATCTTAGACAGAGTGTCATTCTACGTAGTGACAGCAAGACTTATAGTAACGCCACTTTTATTTATTCGTGGATGTATTTATTAAATTCATAATGAATGTTCTGTAACAATGTTTGACAAAACTCAACTCTTGGAAGATAACTCCGGGGTTGTAGAGATTGTACTCGCTGTACGTGGTAATGGTGGAGCTCTTTCGCAAGGTTCGTTGGACATTCCCGTGCTTGATTCTATTTGACGTACTGAAGTACTCGGGTCTTCTTCAACTGCTTGAAGCACGGCGTCCTCGCAAGGAAAGACAATTCTTCCTTCACCATGTGCTTGATTTGGGAATCAACCCTCTGAGAGTAAACGGTGCAAATTCACAAAAACTCTGTGATCGGAATGACAAGCAGCATTTGGGTACCTCTCACGATAAAACCTAGCTACAGCATATTGCAGGTTGGCGTATTCCTGTACGGTGTAGACATGGCGGCAGTACATAATCGTGAATTAATAAAAGTGGCGTTACTGTCTTGGTGTCACTACGTAGAATAACTATTGTAGTAATGGGAACTAAAATATCATCACAGGGTATAGTTTCTTCCGATTTTTTTAATACCTGTAATTTGAAAAGTACACGACTTAGATTTTTTTATATATCTTTCTGATAACTATTAGGATTTAGCCTATCCCCCATTTCCGGCTTGACGACGACTTTTGAGACACCCTGTATATACACTATTTTCCACGATACCTCAACAAGCCAAAATGTGAACAGTTCTAATGTCATTTAAAATACCCAAGTGACAGAGCCACCAATGATAATACTGCGTTCGTCTGTCAAGCCAACTGTGTACTGCTCCGTTTTAGGTTATAATCCGCACGGTCCAGTGACAACGAATGAGAAAATACTTTCTATCAGAGGTATGAACTTCGTATTTCTGAGTCACTGATGTGACCGCTAGATGCCGTCGATTCTGGTGCTAAAGTCGATTCGAGCTACTCACCACTCAATATAGCACCACAATCGGCAGCATCTAGCGGCCACAGAAGTGGTAACAGATAGCACCTTGTGCAGTCTCATTTCGTACGAATTCATTGTCCTTTAACATGGGTTCACGAGTTTTCTATCGTAATACATAGCGAGTCAAAAGTATTTTTCAACTCACCTCTATAAGATGCGACTGGACCTGACTAGTAAGCAGATGGCTCTTGATGCTGCTCATGATTTCCTGAAAATCCAAAATAGATATAAAACCTGTGCCATTTTTGTCAGCCCTTCTAAAACCTTCGATGGCGTACTCTTCGTGGAAGTCGTGTAGAAACTGGCTGAACTCGCTGTAGGACACCAGTCGACTCTTGTCTTTGCCGAAGTACAGCTGGATGAACGGCGAGTTCAAGTTGAACGGAATCTTCTTGTGTAGCTCCGTCTTCTGGATCACCTCAGAGAATTCTTCTGCAAATGTGAAAACAACAGAAATGTTTTTATTACTGATAATAGTCAGTGGATGCCATTATATTTCTGACGATTCAAACAATGCACTTAGTTTGAAAGACAAAAGTAAGATGGGTATCTACTTAGACTGGATTTCACCCACGTGGCACGAAGTATAGCAATTCAATTGGTGGAGTGTGTATCTGAATGGACAAAGGTTCTATACAATTGGACTTAAAACCTGGTGCGAAATGGAATGTTGTTTAAAAAACAGGAACTTATACTCTCTCAGCTTGTGCTAAAATTTCCATACTGAAATTAGAACGATCTGCTAAACGATCGCAACATAAAAGTATTAATAATATTTTGTTAATAAGTTACATAAACTTATACAGGTATCTTCTGTTTCAGCCATTTTTCAAGTATGACGCAGTTTCTCCTCGTTTCTTAAGTAATGTATCGAAAAAAACACGTATTTGGGAGCGCATTTAGAAAAAAAAACTAATTTAAATACTAGCTTTCCCACTTAAGGAATCAGCCAATATGATCAGACTTTTATTTCGAATATAAAAAAGTGACGATGCATTTCATATGAAACTGATAATGTAAAAAAATACAGATTATTTTTCTCATCTCTAGAAGTCGTAGAACCACTTCATAAGGATATGAAGTTGAAAATTTTAACTGAGAGTTTTGGCAATCGCAAATAGTGCATACGTGACGTTAAGGATGATTTAAGTTATACGAATAGATTATAGGTTATCGCTTCGTTTTGTGTTCTTGAACCCCTATGAAAGCATAAGATATACATAAATACCCGTGGATACCGTTGAGCTATAGGGGGAAAGCATTTTACATGCACAGTGCACCACACATTCTGGTCCCGCTTTAGATATCCGCCGGATAGTACGTCTACCATCTGCGAACAATCACATATCCAGAGCCAAGGGTAAAATTCTCTTGGGGTGGAATCTAAACCCTCACAGCTTACAGTGACCAGATTTAGTAGATCACAGCGTTTACCATGACGCCACCACGCTGCCTGTATGCGGTATTTGTGATTACCAAAACCCTATTATGCAAGGACTTATTGCGTCATAGCTTTGGCGCGAAATTTTGCGTAATTTTCCCATGTCTTGCTCATAAGAAAAAAGTAAAAACGCTAAGAATATATATTTTGAAGGCAGAATATTATTATCCCGTGGAAATAAAAATACTGGAACATCTCATTGCATCGTTTCATCAGGATATTTTTAACATTCGTTCAGAGTATTTAAAAACTTAAACTTAAAACAGAACCCCGAATGTTTTTACATTCGTCAATTGCCACGGATGGACGGAGAGTGATAAGAAAGAAAATAAATACAGAACGAAAAAAAGAGGGTATTTTCTCTCATGAATCAGCAAGTGAATAACATTCATGACATTCGTTTGTTTACAAGTCGTTCCGCCAATTTCGGCGGATAATTTTGTACGTAAGACATAATTGGTAACTGTATAATGATACGTGCTTAATGAGCTTTTTTACCGGTCAATACCATATTTTGTATTTGGTCTTGAAATATTATATGGAACTTTCCAAACATTTAGGATCGCGGTTATTTAGCTGAGTGTTTCGATTCGATCCAAATCTTGTGAACATTTTGCCACATAGTATTTTCCAGTTTACATATCAGAAAAATTAAACCGTCTGCCACAACTATATTTAACCTCAGATTTGAATATTATTTTTGGAATAATTTTTATTGATACCGAGACATACCACTATCAACAGTAGTTGTTGATAGATAAACTTAACACATTTGCAGCAGGCTGATGGAAGTAACTGATTTCGACCATTGACATTAATTCCGTTGGCGCTTTGCTATCATACATATGACCCCCCTATGTTAATTTCAGATGTCAAAATTATCATAACGGATTATATATGACAGGAAGACAACATCGAAAGCAATTTCAACGGTCGGAATTCAGTTAGAGTCAGGTCCCATTAACGTCTTTCCCTGTTGACGATAACTGATATATAAACTATATACAAACCATGAATAAATGTTTACAAGTGATTTACTCTATTTACATAAACAGAATTTTTTTATTTGCAGTATCACGAATTTTTTTATCGCAGACAATTGTAGCCCATGATAAACGTTTTTGTTATTACGAGAAATAACACAAATTGCTTGACAAATATTTTGTTGACTTTACTAATGAAACGTGTGACCTGATAGTCGAAAAATTGCATCTGTAAATTCAAACTGCATCAAATTAGTTTTTTGAGAACATTTTGTTGGATAGAACAGTCCAGTTCAATAGATCAGATCATATTTTCCATTGTTGCTGAACTGCGAGAGATGTTTATAATAAACTAGCATCTCCAGAAGAATTGCATATACTGTACTCAAAAGCAATTGAATCGTTCAGTTTGAATTTCATGAATGATACGAAATACTTTAGATTCGAGTACACACACATTTCCAGCCATCTTCTACAAAGGGTCACAAAAGTTTAAGTCAAATCTCCGCAGCCATGACGAGTTGTCATACTGAAACTGTCTAGCACAGCTGTAGAACACTAAAAAGTAAAACTAAAAACGTATGTCTCTGAGCTTACACAAACAATCGTCCATACACAGAAATAGATTGCATGTGTACCTGTGAGGGATATTTATTTATTTAAGAAATTAGGGATATCAAACAGAGAAAATCTCAAAAATAGGCATCTTAGATTAGATAATATGCACAGTTTGCTTATAGCCCTGTAATTATCTGCAATGTACCTGTCTCCATTTGTAATAGGGAAGTATGAAATTGTTTCTCTTCTCTTCGTCGCCATTTCACGTGCACTACTCGCACTTTTATTGAGATCCGTCAAGTCGATAAAGAGAACTTGCATATCAAATAATAAAAGAATTGTTGATACTTACGAAAACTAACCATTCCATTTCCGTTAGTGTCGAACAATTGAAAGGCAGTCTTGTAGAGGGCATCGGGGAAGCAGAGGAGGCCCTCGAAGGCCTGGAATTCCGCATACGAGATGAGGCCGTCTTTGCTAGTGTCGACAATCGAACCTAACAGCCTCACTGTGTCCGCATTGTGGTTTTTCTCATCCAATATTCTCAAGTATCCGATAACGAAGTCCTCTGAGGTCATGTACTTCTCGCCATTTTGCTCTACGGAAGCGTATCTGGAAAAAATAGGGAGACGATGCAGGAATGATAATGATAATTTTACGCTTGAACTAGATGGCAGGACTCGTCATCTCAAGCTTATAGAAAAATGTGTATCCCCCTAAAGCCCCACGGTACCCAATGGGGGTTTAGGCTAATGCCTAAACCCCCATTAGGACACTATTTATTCAGAATCATTAATTTGCTCTACTCCAGTAGATGAGGAACTGCAAAATAACAACGAATGTTAATAAAGTACCTAGCCAAACTCCAAGAGGCGATTCCTTGGACGTTTCTAAAATAGGCATAAATCCGGAAACGTATGTTACCATGATACAGGGTATTTTTCACGATACCTCATTAGTAACATTCAAAATACTCGTACCCCATTCGATAAGTGACACGCAACTCTCACGTATCAGTCAACGCCACATCGGCAGACATAGTCGCATTTTGTGGTGGTTTAACCATACAAGCAATATGGCTGCCAGTGATCGTGATTATACTTCAAATCAGAAAAGAATAAAACAAAAATAAAAAAGTAATGTGTTTGGTATAAACAGTTCTGAATACGGTCCTTAACTTTAAATAACAATTCATTATCGCCAACACTACAGTCATGAATACAAAGATGTCACTTCCTGATCTTCATCTCAACGGACGTCAAAACGTATCGAGTATCGTGAAAAATATGAACTATGCCACTGACGAGACTCATTAAGGACAAAATATCATCAAAAAAAAGCTGTGGTCAAATGGTATTACTGCCATAATATATTACATATAATTTTCACTAATTCGAGATTCTACATTCAAAAAACTTTTCTTGAAAAGCAAGTGTCTGAACGTAAAATTGAAATGCATTATTCAAGCTTGTTATAGGTGTCATAATATCTCAGATTCACTGCTGTATTCTGAGCTGCAAAAATGTTTGATGTATTGGTTGTGCTGTCGCAAGTACATCCAATTTTATGTGTCGACAATGATCTTCACTTCGGATATATATTTTTTCATCCTCTTGGAAATTACAACTTCAATAACCTGTATCTCAATACGGGAACATTTGAGGACTCATATTCATATAAAAAAGTTCTGATCTTCTATGACAATAAAAGTTTTTAACACTTGTATCTTCAAAAAGCTATGTTATAGTGCTTAACGTCAGTGCCCATTGCTGACATAGTATCACGGCACTGTCGCTCCCTGAATACACCCAATATTTCAAAACTGAAAACTAAAAAATATTCGCTGACAGACTAGGTAAATTGAAAAATGGAACAAAACAATTATGCAAAAACCACTTCTTGCATCGCTAAAATTGTGGAAAAACTTTCTAGTCATTTCTCTTTGTGTCCCAAGTTCTCTTTCCGTTTCACTAGCTGAATAACTTTTACCGTAAACATATGTCCCACTCATGTTTATTATCTGATCTATTTCCAGAAACCACAGCATTCAACTCGTGCTCATATACTTTTTATTTTTATCAATTTCGGATTGAAATGTTTACCACAGACATCTTCAACCACGATACAAATACATTTCCTATGACGACCATAATCACATCAAGATATTTTATTCAAATATAAGAAAGCGCAGCATGGTAATGAACAACAATGCTGATTTTTTTTTTAATTTAGGGATAAAAAATAGGGAGGTGGAGGAGGATATATCTCAATTTTTTGACGCTGGTATACTTATACGCTTCCAGCGGTAATTCTACGCACCTTTTATTCATATTCACTTATCATAGATCGTTCTGTTCATTTATCCCCTGCCAATCCTTGAACCGCCGTAATTCGAGAAATACTAAAAAGACTACTAAAGGCTTTGAAAATCGACCTAATAAAATTATGGTTTAAAACCAATTCCAAGTTGTCTCCAAACTTTTTTTTGTATATTTTAAACATATCATTGGTGCTTTTTGTGAATAGTCAAAAAAGTTTGCGGGGTCAAGATGTTTCAAGAAATTCCAACATTCCTTTTTTTATCTTTCGGATCACCTTAAACCGTAATTAAAAACATGTTGGAGCTTGAGCTATTTTAAATTACAAGAGGCTTTTACGAGTAAATCCTGTTTTTGGGTTCTCCGCATTAATATTCAAATTAATGAGTCAGTCAATCACAATATTGCGTGTAAACCACTGTGTAACCTACTATCGATGTTTTCTATCTACAATAAAGCAGATGCATGTTATATACCTGTTGAATATCTCCCTCAATTGTGTCTCGTTGGCTCGTCTCAAAAATCCGCCTCCCTGAAATAAGAACAAGGCCATAGAGTATACATTCAATAGGAAATATTGATTTTATTATATAATATATATATATATAGCCTTTCTAAAATAAACCTTGATGTAATGCTACACTCCAATTGTTGATTTATTTGCATAGAATAAAGTTACAGGAAGCAATATTTTGCAGGTAGCATCTCGAATTATCGATGAACATGAAAAACTATACAACAAAGCAACATTGTACCTGAACATTAAAATAAATCAATAGAGGGTTGAGTCTATAAAAAATGAGCAATATTCACAAGTATGAATAATAAAACAATAACATATGGCATGAAGTAGCCGTTGAGGAAGAAAGTCTGAAAATGATTTCAGCATTTCTCCCCCCACCCCCCCCCCCACCAACTTCAGTTTTATGTGAAATTAGAGCTGCCAGTTGTACGCTTACTAAGTAATAAAAAAACCTAATAATTTAAAATGTACGACAAAATTGAAAAACATTCAACAAATGTGATTTTTTTTATAAGTTGCCCCCTACTTTGAAGACATGTTCCCTCATTGGAAATGGAGCACCAAAATTACCAGTAAAATAAAAATTCAGACAGCCATAGTAATCAACGCTAGCAATGAAGGAAATTGGAAAAGAACCGATCCAACTTGATACACAGAGTGCAAGAAATTGTGGCAACAATTTTAAGTAAGTCGGAAAATATCACAGAAAATTCCAAAAACGTGGATCATAACGTACATTTACCGAGATGGGGGCAAAACACTGTTTATGAAATCAAGAAAAAATTCGAAACTGTGTAAGTGAATGTAGCTATCATCCCAAAATGTGTACAAGCAACATATGCAATGCATACAAAAACTTCATCACTCCAACTACTCCTGTAGCGTAGAAACTAAGATACTTTTACCCCTACAAAAGTAGACAAATATTTTCTACTATTCTAATAATCATTAACTCTACAAGAAAGAGTCTTTCTCAAGAAAGGCGATTCAAATGGATTTAAATTCCTTGTTCAAAAAAGCAATATATGCTCCAAAAAGTCAGTGAGGTCGAAAATAATTTTCTTTTTTCTATATGGGTCAAAATGTCCCAATTTATATGCCACCAGTACAAAAAATTTTGTATGATGTGAGTACTAAATTTACAAAATTTTAAGTTAATCGACTTCATAATTATAATCTCAAACCCAGAATCTCTGTAAGGAAGCATTTTATGACCGATATTCATGAAATCTTGTGGTTTGAGCGCAAAGTTGCTACACACTCAGGGAACGGCACCTTCACAAGTCTAAGGAGAAATGTACAACATCAATTCATATAGGGGTCACCTAGCAAACCACAACATTTCACACCACAACCATTTCTAGTGTTAGTACTGAAGTAAACGTATAGTTACCTATGAAAACAGATCATTTTGACTGACCTCGTGCACGTAAATGGTCTTAACCGTCAGCATGTTTTCTTAGAAGAAAACCCCGGTCGTGTCCCAACTGTCCGCGACACATAAAAAATACAGCTCTTGCCGCCGGCGTCATATTTCGTAAGCGCGAAAAGTGTAAAAATAGTTACAGCATTGCCGATTTCAGCGAGTAGTGTACGATGGAGGAAAACCCGTCTGCGACGGTTTTCCTCAAGGCTGTGATAAAATGAGCGAATAAAAAGGTAAATAGAAAATATCTTGAGTACATTTTTGACAAGATGCGTCAATGTGGCGTCAATAAACCGGAAAGTTTAAGTCACTAGACTGCACTAGAGGTTCGGCTAGCATCCAGATTTTATTCTACTATGAGGGATTCCTATATCAGGGGCATAGCTACCGCCGTATCAGCGGTATCAATGATACGAGGCCCCCAGCTTACAAGAGACCCCGAGTACGAAAAAAATGCGAACAGTGGAATTCACAATCTCACGCAAGTTTTTAGGCCGGACGCTAAATTAAAAATTCTCAAACGTTAAACTTTAGATTGTACTGCGAGGTGATCGTAGCATGCTTCCTATTTTTAACCATCCAGATTACAACTGCATGAAAGAAGCTTTTAGAAATTAGAAGCAATTAAAATATCTTTGGACCTCTATGAGGCAACTTTGACTGTCCAGCCTGGTGCTGAACATTTCGAAACACTAAAATCGTCCTCCGCTATGGGATTTTCAAAAACTGTAACATCTTCAAAAAGATGTCTGATTACCATTTAAAATGTTCAGAAAGTTGTAAAGCATAAAAAAATTGGGATAATCTGAAAGCTATTTTGATTTTTGCTGCCACTTAAACGACTTTCAAAAATAAAGCAGCTTACCGAATTATGACATCACATAACCCCCCTCCCGCGCAAAGCTCTGCTACCCCTCGCTCTTCAAGAAGTCTTAGCGGTAGGTATACTTATACAGATATTGTCTCTTGCTGATGAACCGCCCCCTCTGACTAAGAAATATTCCTACGGGCGACAATTCATATTATTCAATCCAAGCGTTTATGTTTCTTTTGTAAGAATCTCCACTTTAAATTTTACCCTCTATTTGGGAGTCGCCGTTGTTGGGTGGAGCCCCCTTACAAATTTTGATATGGGGCTCCTGAGGAGCAAGCTACGCCACTGGTCTATACATAGCGTGCGATATGTATGTTAGAAAGAGTGCGCCGTTGGCTTCCGTAACTCGGGTTGCTAGACAACGAGGTGCTTCTATCTACTTCTCACACACGTATTGCACGTATTTGGTTTTCAATGTATAATTTAGGGTCTGCGAATAATTCAATTCTTAGGGGATCTGAGATCATAACAGGAGGCTAAAGGCATGGTGATAGTTGATTGTACTAGGAACAAAAGTGACGTCAAGTAGGTGGACTCTGCACGTTCTACGCAACGGTGTCGTCAGTTCATAACGGATTATGTTCGAAACAGATTAGCCCCTACGAGCTACAAATATTTATAACATAAAACTTGAACGGACCAAGCCAGTCAAAAATAGCCATACAATTAACCCATGAAATTGTCCCCACTTTGCCGACAGTTCGCTGACCACATAACAAGTTGCTATGACTAACCTTGCAACATTCATCAGAGAGAACGTAGCGCAGCGAAGAGGAGTCCAGAGACCAGAGCATAGGTGCTTGGGAGTTGGAAATATAGTAGATATATAAATATATTAACGCCAGAATATTGAGATATACTCTCCCCCACCGACTAGAATTTCCAACTCGCAATTTTTAACCCGTACAAAAATTGTTCTGCGAATCAGGAACCTCTGAAACGTCAAAAAAACCTACAAAGATTTTTCGTCATAGTCGTAACCTTGTGAGAAAATTTCATCAATATTCGAACGGTAATTTCCAAAAGTTATAGACGAGCCAAAGATTAGTGGAGAGACAGACCGATAAATAGTCAGAGAAGCCGACAAACAGACAGATGCCGATCGGAGAAAATGAGTTACACTCGTGATGTACATGCCATATCAATAATATCTAATTTTCGAAATGTTTCGCGATTACAATACTTCCTTGGCTGTGGCGAAGGAAGTAAAAATAAATCCTCGAACAACCTGAAATAACTGATCTAAAAATATATTTTTGAATGCATAAATATTCATAACCAAATGATCCATATACAGTTGCAAGATCACACAGAAATACGAAAACCAAAAGTTCTGTCAAGTCTGGTTACCTAGATACCAGACAAAGTCAGGGAGAAGGAAGTGGAGAAAAAAAAGTAATGGGGAAGAGCAAAGAGGAGGAAGTTTGTCTTTTGGTGGGGTGCCTTGGCATTGTTAACTAGTAGTGTAGTAGTAGTAGTAGTTTTATATTGATCCAAAAATTAATTTATAAATTTCTATGTGTAGTAAACTTTACTACAATTGCACGATTTAATTTTGTTAACTTGCTCGACTGTGTAATGTACTGACTCACGCAACAGAGAGTTGCTGTGTTCGCTTGACTATAACGTAAATGCGCCTGTTGATTGATGTAGGGATGCGGAGGTCTGTGAAGGGTCTCGTTGGAGACATACCACGGGGCGTTAGTGACAGTAAGCAAGGTTCTGTTCTGCGGAACGTGCAGGCTACGAATATGCGTTTTGGTGAGAACGCACCACGCTGCAAATGCGTTACTGATTGCTGGTCTAATAACAATCTTTATAATTTTGAGACTCCACATAGCATAGGGTGGTGTTGCCGAAACGTAATTTGGTTTTCAAAACTTCGGTGTTTTTCTGGCAGATCTTTCCCATGTCGAGAGACACCAAGACACTTGACAGAATTTTCTACACGAACCCCGTTCACTGAAACCTCAGACGGGGTGCCGCTACGTCTTCTAGTACAATAAATAATTAATTTTGATCAGTTACCGAACCGCTCATTCCAGTGCCTCATCCACCGCAATTTGTAGCTTCACAGTCGCTATGGCAAGGGACGCCATTAGTGAAAAGGGGATACAGGATTGGTCCGAAGATCAAGCCCTGAGGGACACCCGCTCTGAACGGCCACACTGTCGATAAGACATTATTACCTTCAAAGAGATATTTCAAAAGTTTTAGGAGCCCAAATGAAAAGCCCTTTTGGAATCGCTTGTAGAGAAGGCCTTTGTGCCACAACTTGTCAACTGGCTTCCAGACCACCAGGAGCAAGACGCCAGTACTTTCGTTAAGGATGAACTCCCAGGTTACTCTCTACACAAGCCTGTAACAACATATTATGCTCAGACCAAAAGCTAAATGGCACGTCAGGAATCACACGCTGATCTAACGATACATTCTCAAGGTGACGTAGAATCACCTTATCAGCGTGCTTAGATGGAGCTGACAGCAGGCTAATGGGACGATAATCCTGGAGGAATATCGTACCCACCATTGATTATTGCCACGAGATAAATCAAGGACTTCCACGAAAGCAGCTTCTGCGCCTTATGAGTGATTTTGCTCATCGCCAGGTGTCTTACCTTCAGGTCTTTAATCTGACCATGGACAAGATTCGTTACTGTGAGAATGTCCTCAAGATGGAATAGAAATTATATGATGTTAGGTTTTAATACTTGATGTTCATAAAATGTTTCATTAAATATAGATGCGTTTATACAATGAGCTAATTAAGCCTCAGTACATATTTTCAGGAAGGGAGCTTTTGCATTTCACACACAGTGCGTGTCACAAATGATTCGGTATAATCAAGTGCATGTGGATTGTTTGATCCGTTATATTCAGAGATTCGCACAATTTTCTAGAAATATTCGAAACTGAAATGATACGGCAAAACGGATATTAAAAGATAAATTCATAAAGTATATATATATACTAATAATACCTTGAAAATCGGGTGTTTTTAGAGTAATCCAATGTCCAATGGTTTTCATAAACTTTTCGCAAAGATAACCAAATTGGACCCTCGCCGTTAGCATTTTTGACCATTACTCGAAACAGCACAAACTACAACACTTTCATCCAAAATGAAAAGAATTGAGAGAAATACTGTAAAATACTATTATATTAATCTTTCTCGGCTAGTGCTATGAAAGTTATGATACATCTTGCCTCAAAACCAATTATATCAGATATCAGTAAATTAATCGCGAAACAGAACAATTTACAAACTATCCATGACATGCACAACAGCACGGGTAGCCCACAAGCCGCGAGCGCCATCTATGATGGAATGGTGAAGAGGTAGTTTTGTTGTCATCTTGTCCAATCCCCTGCAGCCACTACTCACCATACTTCTTTTGGGGCAAGAGTTAACGGAAGAAACGAGAAAATGATTTGATCAAATTATCATTTTGTATATGTAAATGAAGCCATTGCAAGATGATGTATGAAGTTACCTAAGTATGTTTTGGATTTACATCACAGTTTATCGTCAATAATATGTATGAAATATTTACATAATTATCTCTCAACGAAACACATTATCTACTTTTACGTGATTAACACCAGTTGACGTGTGATAACATATTACAATATTACATACAATCGTACAAATATTAGAAAACAATACATGATATCTTTGAAGCAAATGCGTTATCTTAAATATTGCGTTTTTTCAACAAGGTGCATAGTTAAAATGTACTTAAATTGAAAAAAAGAAATTATCCAAGTGTCAAGTTCTGAAAGAAGCCTTGTTTTTTAACTCAAGTAGGAAATTGTATTCAGTTTAACAGCAGGAACTAAAACAATTGTTATTATTTACGTAATTTGGTTGATGGGTTGATGTTTAAAACTTTTTCAAGTGCGTTGTGACTTTTCTTCTTTTTAGTAAAAAAAATGTAGTACAGCTCTATTATAGCGACAGCTTAATACTTATTATATATGTTATATTTCCCCTGTAACCATAAAAAAAGAAAAATTCAACATCAAATACTTAGGCAACATGCAAGTACAAAGCATTTTTTAACTTGCGAGTTGCTTGAGCTTAAACACGCATCACCTAAAATGCAATAAAAGTAAGGTTATGAAGAAGATAATTTTTATCCATCATAATCAACTCACCATGAGAAAGCTTCCTTTTATATCCCTTTATAATAAAAGCTAAAAATATTTTGCACGCTTCTTATTAGTAATGAAATTAATAAGTTTGTAACAACGAGTTCAAGTCGATAACCTAAAGAGTGATACAAACGGTGAACGCACATTAGGTCCATGGATATATCAAACAAAATGTAAATAATGTATGTAATGTAATACGAGAGAGTTTCGATATGTAGCTTCGAAACTTCCATGACAATGAGAAATTGCATAAATGAAAAAGCATG